CGATGAATCAGAATCTATAAAGAGGTCAGTTGGAATACATAAATAAGAAATAAGCTTATTCCGTATAATATAACAGGGACTGCAGTACTATGCAAATATGCAGTAATTCTTGTACAAATGCGATCTGGCCGTCGAAATAAATGTAATGAAATGAAGAGAAGAAAGGTCTTAAATATTTAAACTTATTATTAGCATTTTTATAACCTTAGAATCTTTTCAGACTATCTACCTTTTGTTTTGTACTTCTTAATGCTTGTACGTAACTCATTAGAATAAGAAATAGTTGACGAGTAAAAATTTAAAAACGTACGTTTTCAAGAAAAACACTTTATAATAATTTTATTTCTCTTTTTCGGAACGTTTTTAATTTTTTTATTTAGTTTCCATTTCAAGCTTCATAAAATGTCTATGGTAACGCAATACCTTTGATGGTTTTTTATTAATACAGCATCTTTGACGGAAAACACAAAATTCTGTCACGACCATAACGAACGTAAAAATGAATATTACAAATAGTTAATGGTATTTTTATAAATATGTTTTGCTGAAAATATATTTAGTTTTAGGGCCATTTTGCAACAAACAGCTCGCTAAGCTTTTGATATATTTGGTATTAAAAAAAAAATCTAAAAACTACAAAAATTGAAAAAGCTGAAAAAATATCGTTTGTATAGCTCCGAACAAACCTTCCCGATAAATGAAAAACCTTTATGTTTTTTAAGAGCCGTCCTTCTTGTGTGTATAAAACATTGGAATATGATGATTTTATCAATTCTTGAATTTTTATGATACAAATCATCAACGTTGTGGTCCGGGACAAGTGTTACGGTCTGGAATTGGTGATTAACGAGAATCACTATATTGTTTATTTAGGTTATCCTTTCACTACTCTTATTATTATAATATTCCACAAGACTTGATAAACCATAATTAATTTTTTAAATGTAATAGTTTTCAACATAACTCCAATACACTATAAGCTTTAACTTATATGAGGCAATAAAGATACCTGTCTATGTAAAAATAGTTAAACATCTATTTTTTACATCCTTCAATCAATTGTGCTGTTATAAAAAAAATTGTGTTGCAATTAAACTAAACTGTGCAATTTACAATGATAAGAAAATGTATTTTCACGACCATAACACAGTACAATTGACAAAACTATTTTGGTCGTGAAAAAAACGTGATGGTCGTTATGCCCTGGTCGTGAAACCACGTATTATTAGGCTCTGTTCTGGTGGCAGCCTTACACGTCATGTTTGAGGAGGCAAAGTGGATTTCTAGAATAACGTAGCAATTAAAATATCATATCAACAAAAATTAATACCATGTCTACTTTATTACATGACTACGTACGGTTGCGGACACACCAAAAAAAAAAAAAAACACAAAGTTACCTATATTAATCTTGTACTTCATTTTTTACTGTAAACCCACCGGCACAACCAAACTAACGCACATCCCGAACCAGTCTCTAAAACAAAACCAACTGATGTTATCGCTGCCAGGATTGCCACTGTCGTGTTCCAAAGTTGCAAATTTTGCCATTATGGTCGGGACGTCAAATTGAGGGACAGACCTATTTTGTCATGGTAGTCAGTTATGAAAACAAAATTATTATATTCTCCTTTTTTGTAAGTTTAATAACTATTGATGGCATAAAAATATGGCTTTATATATTTTGGCATGAATGATTAGTCTAAAAACATCGTGAAAGTTGAAAAATGTACCCTAGGGACACGTGATGGTCGTGAATTTTGAGACTTTAAAAATACGTAGAACCTACTTAAAACCAAATAAATGTTTGTAACATGTTGCCCCGCCTGTCCCAAAAAAATATTAATACACATAATAATATACTACAAATACAGTATCTACTAAGTAAAAGACCAGGGACATTAAAACGTTTGTTTCAGAATTTTCACTCTGACTTATCCTATTGCATTATTATTTTTATTTATTTATCTTTTTCTTTATGGTTTTAACCAATAACACAATGCGTCACTAGTTTCGGAGGTACTTTCCTGTTAAAGGGAACATTCATTAGCCTACTATTGATTATTTCTTTTCGATATAACGATATGTTATTGTGTTTGTTCGGTATATTAATATTAAACAAATTGAAACTTATCAGCTGACAACTACGATAAAAAATATTATTCAGTACCAACAAACAATGAAAAAGTATTATTTAGAAATGATATGTTCTAAACTAACCTAATTAACCAAACTTGCTCTAATTAAAATAATCCGTTTGATGGCCTATTCTCCATATGACTTCTCTGTTATCAAACGGAATTTTAAAACGGTAACTTAGCCTACAGTAAGTTTGGTTAGTTAGGTTACTTTAGAATAGTTTCATTTCTTAATCTAATAGGCTATTATTTTTGCCTAAAAAGATTAGTTCTTAATCCTATATTCTCTAATACGAGCCATAATTTAAGAACTCTGTTATTGACCAAGTAGGTATAGCTAGACATATTTGCTATGTCGGTTTGTCTGTCTGTCTGTAATTTATGCGTTTGAAGATATTAAAACAGATGTAATATGGATCGTAAAGAAAACAAAATAATATCGATATATCGAAAAGAAATCATCGATAATAATGAATCTTCCCCTTAACAGGAAAGTACCATTTCGGTAGGAATTTTACCCACTGGCCATATAACAAGCGTTTAAGCAACTATAGATTTACGGCCCGGATTTTTAACCCTCGGAATTTTACCCCCTGGCCAGATATAGAAATGATTGAGACACTGATTAATTTTCAGTTTAATTTAATAGTAAACATTTTGTTATTAAGTAGTCCATCTTTAATTAATTTTGATATTCGGGTTTGGGGCAAATTGTTGGTAAGTATGTAAAATGTTTACTAAAATGTTAAAACTGAACTGAACTAATCCGGTATACGAGCCATAATTTAAGAACTCTGTTATTGACCAAGTAGGTATAGCTAGACATATTTGCTATGTCGGTTTGTCTGTCTGTCTGTAATTTATGCGTTTGAAGATATTAAAACAGATGTAATATGGATCGTAAAGAAAACAAAATAATATCAATATATCGAAAAGAAATCATCGATAATAATGAATCTTCCCCTTAACAGGAAAGTACCATTTCGGTAGGAATTTTACCCACTGGCCATATAACAAGCGTTTAAGCAACTATAGATTTACGGCCCGGATTTTTACCCTCGGAATTTTACCCCCTGGCCAGATATAGAAATGATTGAGACACTGATTAATTTTCAGTTTAATTTATTAGTAAACATTTTGTTATTAAGTAGTCCATCTTTAATTAATTTTGATATTCGGGTTTGGGGCAAATTGTTGGTAAGTATGTAAAATGTTTACTAAAATGTTAAAACTGAACTGAACTAATCCGGTATAGTGACTGTCGTGTAAATAAACTTTGTAGTAGGATGTAAGCGTAGCATTGGCATGGTGAAATGCGCATCAGGAATTGAATAACATCTAGAACTTCAAGGCAAAACAAAATAAAGGTAATTTAAATGAACTGAACTCTGTTTATGTTAAAACTGAAAGAAGAAAATTAATCATGTTTACTATAATTTCTATATCTTGCCAGGGGAAATATTCCCCGGAGGTAAATCCGGGGGTAAAAATCTGGACGTACATTTTGAGCTGACCTCATGAAGGGGGTAAAAATCCGGGGTTAAAATTCCGCCCGTGCACTCTAGGTTTTATAATTTGATGTGTTCTGATTAAATTCACAACCGTGAAAATATATCGTACGCTTCCACCTTTAATCTGTTGAACTAATGTTGTGCAACTCAAAAGTTCGCCGGAATTTTACCCCCTGGCCCTGGTTTGTGACGTCAATATCGCCCAGGGGGTAAAATTCCAGGGGGATAAAATTCCGCTACCCCTATCAAAGCTAACTAACAATATTTCTTGGCTTAACGGTTAGTAGGGTCTATATGGTTTTCCTTTTTTTTATTTTTTTTGTTAAAATTATTTGTGTTGTTAACTATGGGAAAATATCCTAATACTGTAGCGTATTACGGACTAGACTGACTGTTTGTAGAACTGTACTGACTGAACCTGAAATGAAAATGAAAATACGAAATTGACGAGAAGAGAATAAAAATAAGTCAATCAAAGACATTCAAAGTACATGTGCTACAAACATCTATCTAAGAAACAACACGGCATTGAATAACTTATTTCAGAATGTTTTATTTAGGCATGTGCGGAAGGCAAGTCGGGCTTATGCAGATTCGTTACTGTATTAAGTGTTTTGAAGTTAGGTTAGATTAGGAAGGTAAAGTGTAGGTTATAGTGAACCGAGTTGATAATTTATATTACACACAGGCAGTTGTTGTGCTATTAAAATAGTGTGTTAAACACAACGAAATAACGACTTCTAAAATACTGCAAGCAATAGACTAGTCAGTAGACTTACAAAGGTAAATAAAACTTTAAACTGCCGTAACTCCGTTAATATTTTGTTAGCGCGGAAACATTTTTGCACCATTATTTTAAGCTAAAAATCTAGTTTCTGGTGATATATAAATCTATATAGGTTCCCATGGTCACTTTCGTCACAATAATTACCGAATTACCGGTATCGCGTATTGTAAAAATGTGGTTGTGGTATATTAGGTTGGTTGTGTTTAATATCAACTCATGTTGAATATCCAAATGTAGAATAGAGTAACAATCTTCCTTTACCGGTATTCGTTTAATGGAAAGAAAGAATCATGCAAATTAGATCACACTTCCTAAACACTTAATTTGTTTTGGAACAAAACTATTTACGTATATAGGTGAAAATATATAAGTAGTAAACTATTTCTTAAAGAGGTACTCTATAATCAATGGGTTAGGTTTCCTGAAATTATGTTTTAGATATATTCCCTTACTACTGCGCGTAAACAGTAGTCAGCTGATTCCAACCAATGTCTGCTAGCAGATTTGGTCTTTGGGAATTTGGTACAGTATCTTCGTTTCGTTTCATGGGTTTTCCGCCTGAAGCGAAGCAAAGCTAAGCTACCTTGTGGGCAGAGACAAACAACAAAGAGCTGTTGGGCTGTCTGCTGTGTGTGTTGCTGTTTGGAAATTTTACATAATGTCTAGTTCCTTTGCGTGTTATGCTCGAGCTCGGTAACTTAATAGTTTACAAGATAATGTAGTTTTCTAGCTGGGATTAGGCCTATTGCTCTTGTGTGCAATTGATTAACTACAATGTGTTTCTAAATCTGTTCTGTTCAAAGGCCATTGTTTTTCGGTGGAAGTGCTGTGAAATTGAATTATTTACTGTTTTATGCATAGAAGTTACTCAATATGACTGAAATAAGCCAGTCTCTGAAAAATAGGGTTTACTACGCCGCACGTGATGGGATGGCTGTTACTTTGTGTGCTTTATTGTCGGACAAAAGTGAGGACGTTGTTAAAGAATTACTTAATCAGGTAAGATCATTATTAAGTTACCTAGCTTTATATTTTAGTTAGGCCTAGGTAGGCCTAGGCTATATTTCTATGGGTCTAGGCCTAGGCCTATCCTTAGTGACTTTGTCCCGCGAAGATTAGATAGCTAACAGCAAATATAATTTTATTTAAGTTATAGAATGATTAGCCTTTGTTACATAAGATGTGTCAACTTAAGAACCCTTTCTAGACACACTCCTACCCTTCTGTTCCTCAAAAATATAACATAACTTAGTCCCTACCTATATCTAGGCTACTTTTCTTTGCTTCAAAATTCAGGCTAACTTATTCAGAAAGGCTGCGTTTACATTGGAAGCACGCTTGGGTAAGTTACATGGTGGTGCACGCTTGCGCAAGCGTGCAGTTGCCGATGGTGTGGTTATACAAGAGCAGAGCAACTAAGAACAAGTGGTCGCCCCCCACTAGTCATAGTAGATCAGGATCACAGATCAGTCAAAATTGAGATGTATTATTAAGTAAGACTCCGAACGTGTTGGGGGGAACGGGATACTGTGGGAGTCGATGTAATGCTTGTATAATGAATTATTTTATAAAAAACAACTAACTTATACCGACTAAAACTGTATAATTTTAATAAGCCTAGAGGAGCTTAATTTTTTCATCATAAGTTTAGCATTATTACAGGTCTATTTTGATAGAAAAATAAAATTCAATGTAGGTATTTTGATTAACAAGTTAAAACTAATTTGCAAATATCGTACAACAGTAAAAATGCTGTAACTATAAAAAATAACTGTATCAACCAACGCCTCGGTATCCATTTTGAACAATTAAACAACTTATAACAACACATAAATTAAAAAAAACAACAGTTTTCAGATACGTACAACCTATGCTACTTTGTCAGTGAACCACAACAAACTGAGGCACGCTTGCTTCAAAAACAAATTTATTTGTTTCGTGATTTGAGAAGCGCAAGCTTGTCCCTGCGTGCGCTTGCTAGCGGCGAGCACTGTAACCATGACTGGACAAGTCGCCACCAGTTTCCAGTAATCTGCTACAATTTTGTTTCAAAGGGCAAGCTTGGAAAAGCGTACGCCACCATTTTACTTGTCCAAGACTGCCTTCAATGTAAACGCAGCCAACACAGTGAACCTTTTTAACGAGACCCTCGATAACAAGTCATCCTTGATAACAAGTGTAATTTTTAAATCCTCTAGAATTTATTTTACCCCTAATCACACGTTCCTACGTATTGAAAACCTCGATAAGAAGTCAACCTTGAAAACAAGTCTTTTTTAATAATTCCCATGAGAGTCTTGTTATCAAGGATCTAGGCTACTGTATTTCAAAACCTCAGACATATGGTAAGACATGTAGGCCTACGGGTTAATTGTTTGCTCACAATTTATCATTAACTTAGGCCAGGCCTATTCCTAGGTTTATAGTAAACATTAGATCGGATGAAATTACTGGTAGCCTACAGTTACTTAACCGGGCTACGCTAATATCGATTGAATTGGAACTATTGATTGAAAATAAGTATCGATTAAACTTAATAAGTTAATCAATATTTTTAGCTATATAAATTATAAAATGAAACTGTCATATTCTAACCTAACCAAACTTGCTGTTAATGAAAATACCTCTGCCCCAGCACACCTGCAGAATAAGTGAATTTCCATTTGCTTGATTAAGTAGTTTAACAAGTAGGCCTACTTAGGTTTGCTGCAACAGGGAGGGTTTAAAAAGGTTTTTTGGTAAATGATAACAGTACCAGTATGTAGACCTAGTTTAGTATGAAATTAATGCATTTTCTAAATTTGATCAAAATATGTAGGGACTGGTAGGCCTACCTAATATAAACAAGCAAACTAAGTAGGCCCTATTTTTCACGCACAAATGCAGCGTGAAAAAAAACGCGAAAAATGTTAGCAGCATTAAATGTAATGCGGTATGCCACACACGGTGTGTTTTCCCGCAGTTGCGGGCGCCCATTTGTTTCAATGCTACAATAATTTTTCGCGTGTTTTCACGCTGCGTTTGTGCGTGAAAAAACGCCCGTGTGGCCGCAGCCTAACAGTTATTTATTCTCCATAAGAATAAAATAGAAATTTTGCTTTAAAGCATTGTTACGTTACGTATCATCTGAATGTCTTGGCCTCATCTAAAAGTATGCAACTTATATTTTAGCCAAATATTTTTTAGGAATTTTATAAAGGTTAAAAACTACGGTGGTTTGCCAAGTTAATACATCCATTAAAATAAAAAGTAACCATCCATGAAACTACTTTTTTCCCTTGTTGTCTTCGCCAATAGCACAATTTTTTCACAGGGTGTTCAAAAGCTTTTAGAGAAAGTGGTCCAAACCCATGTTTTGTGGATGTGCTAGGAATCAACCTGTCCCCCCCACTCCGCAGTTCGAGGACGCTAACTTTTAAGCTTGCGTACACGTACACTATCTTCTATAATAGGCATACACAGTTCTAAAACCTAGTATGCTGCAAGAATCAATTAATGTTATATTTGTTCATAAGTTAATTCAAGATTACCTGTATTGCCTAAAAATATGAACTGGCATTTTCAAACCAAACTTTGGTAAAATACTTAATCTATAAGTGAACATTAACTTATAATTAACTAGATGTTTGACTCTTAGAAATGATTCTATATTTGTTTATTTTCTGCCTGGTCATCAAATTGTTATCACTGGACTCTTTGGACTGTATAAATAAGGGAGCATAGTTTGGCATGTGAGCTTATTAGCTTTGAAAGGTTAATGTCGGGAGATATTGGAATGTAGAACTTCACTAGTAGCTAGTTGACAGACATGGGTGTGTGTTTGGCTGTCTACCTCTGGCCAAGTTTTTGACAACACACAACACAAGTACCAGTATTTAAAAACATTAGCAACTTAAATTAATACAGTACTTAGAGTTAAAGTGCTTTACTGGAGCTTCAAATCCAGCCTCAGTTAGAATCCCTCTTATTACAAATAATATAAAGGTATTTTATTAAATAAATTACATCCTTCTTGCTCCATCAAGCAAGCTTCTTAACAATTTATTGAATTAATTTATTAACTACGAAACCCTTCTTTTACACCTCGACACCTTAAATCCAATGTTAGGTAACTTAGGTCAAATACTAGTCTTTAAAATATGAGCACGCGGTTGAATTGACAGACATTGCAGCTACCCATCTTTGAGGCAATCAACAATTCAAAATGTTCCCATTACAAGATATGTTTCCTACATTTGTCTCAACATACAAAATCCAAAGCGTCAGATAAAGTCAATTTTACCTCGTTTTTTAAATAGGAGAAATACACAATACAATTTGGCTTCACTTCGTACTTTTAAAAATAGGTACCTAGCACTCACACAAACCAGGAATAGCTCTGCCTCTTTTTAATCGGCACTTTAATTAAAATGGTTTGATAATAAAGTTCAGATTAATGAGCGTTTACGGTGCTGCAATTAATTATTTTGATTATAAGCCTACGTAGCTTTTTCTTCTGAATTCAGGAACAACTTATAAACCAAACACAAGGTCTGGTGTATATTTGTTAAATTTTTAAAACATTAGAAAAACATACAGTTATGTAATTGTGTGTACAGTACCAGTAATACAAAAGTCGCTCTGTTTGTATTTAAAGCAACTTGTTAAATTTGCCATTCTACACTTGGTTCAATTGTTTTAGGCAAAGTTCCAAAATGTGTGTGGTTGTAAATCTTATGCTTGCACACGCAAAAATCAGGTCAGCTGTTATTGTTTCGACTCTGGACCCGAAATTAACTAGAAATATATTGCTGTTGCGTCTAGTTCAGTTGGTAAGGTCACCATTCTAGTGCCATCTAATCTTGTACAGCCTAGGCCTTCAATTCTAAAAATATCTTAATCAATAATCTTCCTCAAACATTAGTTTATCTAAACCCTGGCGGCCAAAATTCTTTTTATAGCTTGTAAAAATTGTCCACCACGATTTCTTGTTTGTTTACTTTGTATCTAGCGTATTTTGTACTCGATTGAAAAAAAGAAATGATGAAATATTGATTTATTTTACGCAGAGGGAATCTGGTTTTGATAACCTTTTGCTTCATGATTGTGTTTGTCTTTTACAATTAAAATCTTTTCGCTGATGTATAAAGAACACATGGAGTGTTTTGATAATTAATTATTCCCAACAATAATTATTTTGATTTTACGTCTAAAGAATGTAACCGATCAATTTGTATCCAGTCAAGAGTATTTTCTCTTGTCATAAATTATTATATCAATCGAACTTAAGATTTTTGAAAGACCTTTTAGTATTTATTTTTCAGTTCGAGTTGATTATAACTTAGGCTACATACTAGAATTATTCTAAAATTTATAATAGACTAATACAGAAGAGCTTCATACGTGTCAACCTTTTTGATTGGACCAGATCCGTTATTAACAAGTGTTTTTAAATCTCAAAACTTACCGGTAATAATTGTTGACTATCATCAACGTGTTTATACCATGGGATCAATTACCTAATTATATTTTACTATCAGTGTTTTATTTTAATTATATGAAACATTGTTCACACATTCTGCGACCCCCCCCCCCCCTTGCTGAGCTATTAAAGCGTTTGCCTTCAATTCTGTAGGTCGCTGGTTCGATCATGATGAATGATATAGGTAGGATTTTGAACCTATATATGTCAATTGCCATTTTGCTATCAATTAAGGATGCTAACCAAAAAGTCAATAGTAATTAGTTGAAAATGTTCAAATATGTAAAACAAAACTCTGGTAAAATATTTCTGCTAAATGGATTGTTTTAAAATTGAACATTTGTCTTAATAACTTACAATGGATTTTGACTTAGGCTAAGTACTTCCAGAAATATTTACTATTAGGATTGAAAAAAAATAAAGGTAATAATAGTAAAAAGATTTGAGAAAAAGTAATATAGGCTGGTAATTGAACTTAAAAGTGATCAAGGGTTTTTAACTCTAAGTTATTGGATCGACAACAAAATGTAATAGGCCTACAATTTACAATCAGTTTTAACTCAAAGGTCATTTTGTTAAATAGTTGAGTTTTCATTTTTCCTCTTGAAGGTCAAATCAAACGTGATCTGTAAGTTGAACGAAACTGATAAGAACTATTGACTGTAAAATAAACGTTAACGGCCAACCGATATAGATAAATGGGTTCAAGAATTAGAAAGTTATCAGTGAAATTATGTCACAATCACTATCACGGGAGATGTACTTATGATGAAAAGGTTGTAAAAATGTTGCAATATATTAAAAATGTTTTAAAAATAAATATTTGCCTACTTCCACCTTGAGTTCCTAGCAAAATTCTTGTTTGATGAATCAATACTCTCCGATCAATTAGTAAAACTAATAAATTGTAACACCATTGTTACTACAAAATTTATCTGTTTAAAATTCTCTGATTTAGTGTTATGATTCATTATTACAGCGCTCAGTTCTTCTCAGAATTATTGAAAAATTAATGTAACTTAAATTGAAATTAAATGGTTATTATTTGATCCATTTAGGTGATTCAAAATTGGCAGCATTTTATCACCAAGCTTAATGAGGTTGGTTGCTATATGTGGTTATATTGTTCGCCGTATAATCTACCGTCTCAAAGTCAGTAGCTTGAAACTGGACTTTGACACAACGACTCTTTACATTAGGGATTTTCCCATTCAAAAGCTGCAATAAACCGTAAAGACTTAAGAAATAATTTATCTTAGTCAGTCTTGAGCGTTGCAGGACTTTGCCTTAGACACCAGCCACTAATACTAGCCATGTACCATTGTGTACCATTGAATGTTACCTCTGTTACCTTACTTCTCTGTAGCCTAAAACAAAGCAGTATATATGTGAACGAATCATTGTACTAGTCCGAACAAATAGATCTGAACAAATAGAGTCAAGAGGATTGATATACAGTAGAGAGTCAATAATCTTGAACAATTAGGAATCAAATGATTTAAAATGTATTTTTTTTTAGGTTTTGCATATTTAACATTCTATCTTTACTGTTGAGAATACACCCTTATTTTTGTTATAGATTTACGGTTCTTTTTAATGTAAGATACAGTTTCATTTCCAACTCTATAATATTGGGCTGAACTTGATCCATTTGCACCTTGTTTAACTGTTTCAATCTCTTAAACATATGCACCAAACTATACAAAAAAAAAAAAATACTAAAATCACTATACACCACACTTTTATGTTTAGAAACATCTTAGATAGAATCAAACTATAATGCACAGCTTGCAAACTCGCTGAAGAATGCTTTAGGCAAATGAATGGAAATGGGGTGCTCAGCCTTAGCAGACGAGAATTTATTCTTTAGCAGCATTTGCTTGCTGAGCTAGTGATCGGTGCACAATTTGATTTTAATTTTTTGTTTCTTTCTTCCTTTTGGTTAACCGACGTCGGATTGTTGAGCTTTGCGTAATTGACGCTGTAACTTCATAACCTTGCCAATGTAAATTTTTCTGTTGTTATTTAAGACAGGAACGTTAAAAAAGTTCAAAAACACGGACATGGTTTTCATTTGGAGTGTATTGTAACATATTGTTTGTGTTCTAGGAAGTCATAGACCCAGAAGGCCAGAGGTGCACTCCCCTGATAGTAGCTGCCAGGAACGGACATGATAAAGTTGTCAAGGTGTACCTATCAAAGTTCTCCCTCGATATTGAACAAGAGGGCTCAGTCAAGGTGGACAGCTATGTCATCGAGGGAGCCAGCGCTCTGTGGTGTGCCGCAGGTAGGCTGTAGTAGACTAAAAAAGTGTTCCTGTGCGTAAGCTCTTCACGGAAGTTGCCGGATGTTACCAATTTTAGGAAGTCAGCCACAGACATTTTCTATTAAAAAACTGTTTTGTCAGGGGAGACCCATGTTTTGTTACAAAAATACCCCAAAGTCAGGTGGGGTTAATTTGTCTACAAATTTCTCAAAACATTTGATTTGTTGTTTCGAAAAAATACTTGTAATGACTCAAAATTGCAGTCTTAGTTCCACTAAGTCTCTTTGAGGCAAGACACTTTTGAGCTTATACATTCAATGTGATCATAGCACGATTAGTGGATCCTTTAAGCTACTTACGTTTCCTAGAGCTTAAGGTTAACACTAGGTTTTATCATAGATAAAACATACTCCCTTAGTAGATTTCTCATCCTAATGGAACAGCTGAAGAAAATTTTTTTGTTAGTTCTGTACGGTTTATGTAGAGGTCGTGTTTTGTTTACAATTTGTTTCCCGTTAATACAGTAATTTAAAACCTTGTTTAACCAAATAATACGATCTAATCATAAACAATAAATTGCCCCCTAGTTATTTAACCAAACAGTAAAGCACAAATCAAGAAATTAACCCTAAAATAATAGAAACAAAATTTCGTCGACACTAGCGCCCAGTGTGGCGTACATGAACTAGACATGAAAAACGAGCTTCAAAATTTACAATGGGATGAGAAGTCCTCTTGTGTTGGTTAGTCCATGGTTTTATGCATTTGTTGTTGGTGTATATTCAGCTCCATTCAGCCTATCATAGGGCTGTAGGGTTGATCATAAGGGTGGAGGGGGGGGGGGGTCCTAGCTAAAGAAAAAGCGAATCATTACTAAGGAACAAAGCTACATTGGTCACCTCACTCTATTCCACACTGTGAAAGAATCTGTGTTCGTATACACAATGAAAAATGTGTGTTTTTACTGTGTGAAGTAATGATCATGTCCTCTACAGCCACAGAAGGGATTCTAGCTGCGGCAGGTACGTGTATTACAAAAATGGTGTAATTATGAATTGAAATTCTGGCGCAGCCACTGGTTAGGGTAAGGTTAGTTAGTTTTTGTTTTATTTGAGTGAGGATGGTTGTAGGGTGTGGTTCATGGTAAGGTGGGTTGTTGGGGTTGGGATGGTAATCAATTATGAGAGGGGGGTTGCTGTGTATTTATTTAATTATTCATACAATATACTCATCTTGGTGACACAACACATAAATGTATTTTTGTTTAAAAATAATGGTTTTAACTGAAACGTAGAATCGCAGAAAATAGTTTATTTTCAAACATTATTTGCACGTACACAAGGATGTGAATCATTCAATAATTTTTAGGCTTATTCTTAAATATTAATGAGCAAACCATAATTCAACTCTAGTGAACAATAAAAACAAATTAAGTGTCATCTTTTGTGGTATTTGGCACACACGTCATAAAGTATCTGTTGAACATTTGTGTAAACAGATGATGCAATTTGCAAACTGATACGTCTCAGGAGCGATAAACATTGTTGTGATATGTTTTAAGTAGTTTCAATTTATGAATTATAAATCATTTTACAATTTAATTTTATGTGTTTACCAACCATAGTTGTAGGAAAAAAGATTGTATACAGTGAAGAAGCTAACAAAATTAGTTCTTAGGTTTTTTCAGCTGTTGAAAATTAAGTAGAGCTATGCCAAACTGATAAAATATTCCCAGATAATCTGAATATCCAATCAAATGTCAAAACATATCATTAGGCTAAAGTGTTCTGGTGAAAATTTTGATTTCTCCTTGAAATAATTATGAAAATATCAAAAGTTTTAGTTACAGTTGTAATTTGTTTGGACGTGCTTAAAACTGAATTTTTTTTACACTAGGGAAGTGTGATGTGTTTAAGGTGAAATAACACAGTGAATTGAGCATTAATTTTAGTGAATAAATAAAATGAGAGCAATGCCAAATTTTTGTAGATCCAGGAAGGAGAAGTATAGTTGGGTTAAGTTAAGTGTTCCTTAGCACAATGTAAACTCCATTTGCATGATGCAATTTAGTGACATTTATCATTTCATTAAGATACAGTTCTGCATATTTTATGTTGCATTTGAGGGAAGAATCACAGAGAGCTGCGTTCTGTATTTTTGTTACTGTCTAGGTTTTTAGCTGTTAACTTTCTCACTAGAATAGTCATTTATTGACTTTTCTGTCAGTTATTGTCAGTTCTAGACAGTTTCAATAGTCTTAAACAATATTTAAAATAAAAGTCCAGATGGTTGTAGATATAGCCTACAAAAAGGTCTTATAACATAAGTCTGAGATTCCATCCAATTATAATACCTTCTTCATTGAGTAACTATCTGATTACAGATAAAGTAGATTCAATTTAGGCATCTCTAGTTCTAACATAAGGAAAACTATAAGTTTTAATTGTTTGTTATCTTTATCTTTGTATTGAAGCTACTGAATACAAATCTCCTCAGGAATACTGTACTAGCCGAACTCTTTATCAATAGAGTTTAAGAAAAGAAAGGAACTGGGCAAGAGGCAGATGGTTAATACTTAAGACTACCAGCTAGTCCCACCCATTGCCTTTATCGAATGCAAATTACTTCTAGCTTTCAATCTCTAATATTTTCACCATGAAGAGTGATGAACACCCTTCAAATAATGAGGACAGTTCTGCAGTCTAGTCTTATGACTTGATAACTACGTAATCTTCAAGTAAGGGTAGAGCCTATTGTCAATGCCTATCCCCTTTCCCTATCAACAAAAATCTTCTATAGCCCCAAAGATTTCCCTTTAACATCTCAAATGACTCTTTCCAGGAGCGGGTCACTTAAACGTAGTCAAAACTCTAGTGAAAGCCGGCGCAAATGTGAACCATGCAACCCTGACCAACTCCACCCCCTTAAGAGCTGCATGTTTCGACGGACGACTGGACATTGTGAAATACCTGGTAGAACACGGCGCAGACATCCACATAGCGAACAAATACAACAACACGTGTCTCATGATTGCTGCGTACAAAGGTGAGTAAAGTGAAATATGAGGACAATCCACCTGCGACAGCTAATATGTGCTGATTTTTCACAGCCATTTAAACAAGTCATGATATGATTATTTTAAGCTGTTTGGCCAGTACAGATATTATTGCTGTGTCCCTTTGCTTTGTATATTACTGCAATTTATTACTTTTGCACCTGTGGATATTAGAACTAGTGCTGGTGTAACGGTAGAGCTCAGGGCTTCGGCCCTCGAGGTCTTGGTTTAGTAAACCAATAGCTTATTACTATAGTCACATTATCATATACTCACTCACATTATCACATACAGCTAAAGAGCTATGTGATAGTGCCGCAACCCTCTAGGCCTTGCCTGAGGTATTATGTAAAACAGTTAAGGGTTAGAGCTTAGCGTACTAGTTTGTGAAAAAGTGCTTTTGTAACATTACTGTAGCAACTTCTGATAGTTAAGACTTTTTTAGTTTGGACAAAAGTTCAGTCTCAAGCTGTCCATTCCAGAAAGAGAGTGTAACCTACTGTATTGGTTTAGATTATTTATTTTTGCTTGATTTATAATGTTTTAATGTTATTTAAAAAAATAGAGTATAGTTGGTCCACACAGATGGGGATGGGATGTTTACTCCAGTATCCAAAAGTCTGATGTTAATATTTGCAGGCCATCTGGACGTGGTGAGTTTCCTGCTGGAGAAGGGAGCTCGGACGGACGAGAAGGCTCACTGTGGCGCTACGGCGATGCACTTTGCGGCTGAGTGTGGACACTCTAGTATAGTCAAGGAACTGTTGGACTACGGTGCTCAGATGTCTAAGAATGAGATAGGTTAGTTGGAGTAACTAGCTTAAAACAATCTGCTGAAGATAAAGGTTTTCCTACTTTTTAACTACAGTAGACTCCCTCTTATCCGGACACCTTTTAACCGGACATCGGTTTAACCGGACTACACTCGACGGAAATTACATCTCTTTAACCGGACAATTTTTATCAGCACATTGGCTTAACCGAACTAGATCGACAGGATGTGGGCGGTACTGAAATGACAGTTCTCGTGGGAAAGATTTGAGAGCAGTGATCACATGTCTAAATACAATGCTCTCCTAAATTTAAGTTGAATATCACAGTAAACAGTCCATTTAACGAGTTTTTGGACGTTGGCTTAACCGGAAAACTCGTTATCCGGACTGGCCTCGGTCCCGAGGAGTCCGGATAAGAGAGAGTCCACTGTATCATTGCTATTGATTTACTATTGCTATCATAATTATCTCTATTGAAATTTTTTTTTTATAATTAGATTTGTGGTCTTCATAAGAGAAAAATAATTATTAAGTAGGATAGTAAAATTGTCAACATTAGGGCTGTAGGTTTTTAGTTAATATTATAGGCCTATATTTGGAACGCAATATTAAAAAAAAATCACTTGAATTCAGGACTAAACGCTGGCCCTAGTAGTATACTAGATTAGTACATCTTTTGCTCTTAGGTTTGTCGCACTTCAAAACAAAACAAGCTGCTATACCTGTGCTTTGCAACGGGAAGAAAATGTGACCTAGAGAGCTATTAAAGTAATTTTGATGGGTGTTTTAAAATACGACAACTCAATGATTTAGTTTGAAAATATAAACTGATTTAAAAGTGTAAACTTACTTACTTTCAAGCCCCTACTTTTTATGTTAATAGATCCAAAAGAATATGACAACATACATTAGTGTAATTGTAATAGTATAAATAGCCTTCTTTTTATAGTAAAAAAATGGTAGAAATAAGTTAGAAAACAGTTTTAAGTTATAATAAAGAAAGAATCACTTTTCGACACTGTTCAATGTAATAAATATGTACTTAAAGAATAAAGATTGTTTGAAATGAAATAAAATGTAGCAATAGCATCAATTTTTTCATATTGATGCTTCACGAATATGTTTTACCATAATTCTTCAACTTTTGTCAAGGCTCTTTACATGTATCTTACTATATAAGTTACAAAATGAAATTTTGAGCAATACTTAACAAAACGTATACAACCTTTCTTTAAAACCAAACATAACCCTCCTAAATCTAAAGCGTCACAAACATCTTTTTCGAGTAAATAAACAAACACCAGTTCATTGTACTGACCAGCTGTTTCATGAACTAAATTAAATTAAATCATGTAAACTTTGTAAGCATTCTAGGCGTAGCCCTTTGGAAATCAGCCTGTGGGGCAGACCCCTTAGGAAATTTGTCCATATCAATACTTTTCGGCAAATCTACACACTCTAAGCTTCATTTTGATGTGTCATATGCCTATATTTTTATTTGGTAAATGGCCTTAACCGTTTACATAAAATTTGATTGTATCACTTTAATAATATAATTGATTAGATCAAGATTCCAAAACTGTGTTGAACATGTGACATACTAACTGGTAATAGAAAACATTACCAAAATTTAAATTAGGCTCTGGTGTATGCGGTCACAGAGACATCTTCATTTCCTATGATTGGGCTGCAATCCTAAAAATTAAAGTAATATCAAGTCGCTTGACTGCCTCTGACCCAAACCCCCGCTGATCTAACATTTTTGCAGGAATGACACCGCTTCTTGCTGCTGCTGAAAGGACGAGAGCTGACGTTGTACAGTACCTGGTGACTAGACCCGAGGTGACACTAGAGGAGAAGATTGATGCTCTTGAGTTATTAGGAGCTTCCTACGCCAATGACAAGGACCATTACTGTCTCGTATCAGCTTACCAGTTCCTACATCAGACCATGCAGCTCAGGTTTGTCTCTAATCCCTGGTCTGCTGGTTTGATATCAATCATGATTGATTCTAGGCCATTCAAACAAATCCCTTTTTCAAAGCCTTTCTAGTATTTGGACCATTCCCTTTAACATGTTCACTGCAGTTGCGCGATGGCCGGCCGTAGCCGGGAGCAGAGACAAAGGCTGCGGAGATGAGTGTGCAAAAAGTTTTGAATTTAGTTTCATACATTAGGAGAGCTATATTATAGCATGTACTGCGTCCCAGTTGTTGTGGACGTAGTTTTACAAGAACCCAATAGATAGCAGCACTAAACAAAAATCCTAGCCGGCCCTCAGTATTGCCAAATGGAGGGAAAAAGCAAGGGCAAAGTACCCTGATATACCATAAAAGAATACCACAAAAAAGGGGTCAGGCACAATAATTTTGAGGTTAGGTTCCTTTCAAAATGCTACAGACCATTATCGTTATTCTATTCAATGTCATCAAATCCTAGCCTAAACCCCACAATATAATAAATTTGTAACAGTCCCTACTACCGATAAAATAGTAATATCTGGAAACAAATTATACCAGATTAAGAAGGACTTGCACAATAAGCGTCAATCGAAACAACATTCGACGGCAGTGGGTAACCTCAAACTGGAACAATAGTACCTAAAGCCTGAAGTGTACCTTCCAAGTACACACAGGGGTGGCAAATGAGATTGTCTCGTTAAATCCACTATGGTGTACAGTCATGATAAGATAAGATAAGATAAGATCTTTATTTCCATTAGATATTCTTTTGAATACATTGGATATGTCAGGTTACAATATATAATCTATACAATAATAAATTGAACAAAGGCCTCACCCATCTTACACAAAATCATTGCAAGTAAATTTTTTTGTCAAATATTCATCAATTGAATAGAATGCATTTGCAAGTAAGAACCTGATTACAACAGTTTTAAATTTAATAATGTCCATGTCCATGTCCATGTGCAAGGGGTAGCTTATTAAATAACCTTATGGCTAGTACAGATGGCTTTTTCATTGATTTACTTAATCTAACATGACACAGGGATGTAGCACAGCATTTCACACAACTCGACTAGGGAGGGTTGAATAACATAGATGGATGGATAGCTAAAAGTCAGATGAACAAGTGTGTTCTGTAGGTCTACTATTTAAAGGGAACTTTGACAAATAAAGAAGGTTTGTTGAGTTACTGCCAGATCAATCCACTGTAGTTAAAGTAAATTAAAATGCACAATAACTAATAAGCTTCAGTTGACGTACTGGGACTCTTCAGTCGGCTACTCAACAATACAAACCATAATAGAGGGTTCCTACGGTAAAATTACCATCGCCTTTATTTATCAATTCTGTCGACATAGAGTTCAATCAATACTAAAATTTTTCTTTTACATGATTATTCAGTTTTATTTTTGTTTCCACTGTTGTAGGTGGGGTGATCCTGAGAAACCTATCATGAAACCTACATTAGCTCCGATTCCTGCCTATCAAAACTGGATTGAATGCCAAAACCTAGAGGAACTGGAGCTCATAAAAAACAACAGTAACGCCCTGCACATGGAGTCTCTAGCCATCAGGTAGGTTAAATATTTCATTGCTAGAGTTTGAAATATAGTTGAAATATAGTTTGAAATTTCATTGATTAGAGTTCATTGAGAGGTCAGTAATCAGTCTTTTGGCTGGTGTAGGACTTACACTTTATTTGTAGTCGGGTGATTGTGGTCCAGGGTGGGTTTTATTTTTGTGTGCAAAATTTTCTTTAAAACTGTATTTTGGGAGTATTGGTGTTTTGAATTTTGCTTGGATCATCCAAGTTTATGTTATGCTAATGTTTATGTTATGTTTAGTTTATGTTATGCAAGGTAAAATGATGTTTGATAGAGTTTCACTTGCAGGATGGAACTACATATTTTCAGATTATTTCATGAGCTCTATACTCGGCTACCAAGCCATTTCTAGTTATGTTAGTTTAGTTTGTATATTAATTTTTTTTTTACTAAGTCATTCAAACGAAGTACAGTAAAGCATCGATTATCTAAAGCAGTGTTTCCCAACCTTTTTTCGTTCAGGGCACACTATCTAGAACCCGTTTGTAGTCACGGCACACTTGTCTACAAAAATATCGTTGGTTGAAATTACATTTAGTAAGTGCATAAAATACTCTTTTTTTCAATTACATCTTACCCCGTAAAACCTGTTTTTTACTAGTAAATATATATATGTGTATAATATAAAGGTGGGTTTACCAAGGTAAAAAATATAAAACTCCCGATTGTTATCTAAAATATGTACATTATTTAGTTTTTATTAAAAGGAAAGTTTTAAATAATAATAAAACATGAAGCTTGATTAAAATGTATGAATTAACCAATAATGAGTAAGAAATGTTTAATAAACCCAGGTTCAGTTCTAGTGGGAAACTTGTGCTTGACGTTTGTTCATTAAAAGTTTCTTTCTTGGACGAATGGTTGACAAGCAGACTCTCATATCGTCTTCCAAAGACTTAAGTTGAGAACGGGTTTTGGTCTTGATTGCGTTCATTGATGAGAATGCAGCTTCACAAATGTACGAAGTAGAAAAGGGCAATATTGCTTTCATGGCCTTCTTTGAAATTAACGGATACTCCTTTAGTAAAGGAATCCAAAAGGATGAAATATCAATATTAACTTTGGTTTTCTTCAGTTTTGATTCTGCTTCCGAATCTTCAACTAATTTGGAGTACTGTAGCTTTAAACCACAATAATTTTTTAAGTCAATCAGCTCACTCTCTTCATCAGTTGTAAACAATGCAGTCTTGTAAGCAGCTTCAATGAAAGGATTTCTCACCCAGTCCATTGAGGAAATATCAAGGGATGGGAAGTACTTTTTTATATTTCCTTCAAACAGACGCAGACTTTTCAAAATTAGCTCGGAAAAAGTTGAATCAATATCACAATCTTTTGTCAGTTCAAACATGTCCAAGGTTCCATGTTTTTCAATTTTAGTTATCCACATCGAAAGCTTCTGCTGGAAAGAACTTATTTTGTCAGTGGAAGTGAGAATGTTTTCTTGCTTTCCTTGCATGCCTTTGTTCAAAAAATACAATTTCCCAAATATGTCAGCCAGAAAAGCTACTTTTGTACACCAGTTTTCATTATTAAGGAAATCAGCATACTCAGATTCTTTACAAGTAAAAAATATCAGTAACTCATCCCTAAGTTCATAAAATCTTTGAAGGACACGTCCTCGTGATAACCATCTCACTTCTGTGTAGAGTAAAAGCTTGGTGTGCTCAGCATCCATAGCAGAACACAAACTGTCAAAAAATCTGGACTTCAAAGGCCTACTCTTGATGAAGTTAACCATTTTTATGACAATTTGCAAAACATCATTCAGCTCAGGTACCAAAGACTTGGCAACTAGAGCTTCCCTGTGAAGAAAACAATGTGTAAAAATAATATCAGGATTTTCTTTCCTAACCAAGGCCAGAAAACCTGTTATATGGCCAACCGTTGCAGGACAACCGTCTGTGCAAACGCTCAAACAATTCTGCCATGACAAACTATTAGCGGAGAAATAATTGTTCACTAGCTGAAAAATATCTAGTCCAGTTGTATTTCCAGGAAGGTCCTTGCAAAATAAAAACTGTTCAATTAACTCACTTTCACAAATAAATCTAACAAATGTTAGAACCTGAGGTTTCCCGGTTATATCTGTGGACTCGTCCAACTGAAGAGCAAAAAAATCTACAGTTTTAAGTTTTTCAATAACTTGAGCTTCAACGTCTTTGGACATGTCTTCAATGCGCCTACTTATTGTATTGTCAGACAATGGGATTTTCCTAACTTCTTTTTCACATTCCTCACCAAACATAATTTTAACAATTTCACAGCAAGCTGGTAAAATGATTGATTCAGCTGTTGTGTGTGATTTCATTTTTTTAGCAACTAATTCAGCTACAACGTAACTGGCCTCCTGTGCTTTTTCCGATACAGAAGAGAGTTTTTGTAAATGTTGAAGCCTGTGCGGATTTAACAAAAGTCTTTTAAAATATTCAACTGGTTTTTCAGCAGCAAAAGCATGCTTCGTAACTAAATGTATTTTCAACTTACTTGGTACCATAGCTTCATTTGACAGCTGGTCACTACAAATTAGACAACGGGGTTTCGGCTCTTCTCCACCAGACGACGTAAACCCGAATGACAAGTAGCTGTCATGGTACTGACGAAACTTAACCGATCCACCATCGTTATTTTCGTTATGTTTTCGTTTTGTAGGCCTACTTGCCATAACAGTTTTGTTTCCATTAAGGGGAGTCCAAGGTCCTATCTTTAGTAATGTTAACTAAATGTCACTTTTCTCAGGAGTTAGATTAGGTAGGATAGTGAAACTTGGTATACTTTTATATTAACTAATTAACTAGACACAGACACATGATTTTTCATTTAAAATTAAAAATAACTATTTTATGAGTTTTTATAATTTAACAAAAATTTGTTTCAAAAAATAAAATTTATTATTTTTTTTTTACATGCTTCTACTAAAGATATGATGAATTCCTTATGTCTGTGTTTAGAATAAGTCACTAAGACTACATGGTAAAAATTTCACAGCTGTAAGTATTACCAGTCCTGAAAAAAATGACATTAAAGTTTAAAAAAGTAAAGTTGCGGAAATCGGCAAGAAAATCCTCCAAGGGTCTACGAGTTTTACCTTTAAAACGACACTGTAATGTTATGGAAAATATATATTTTATACATTTCTAGGTTAGTAATTAAAAATGTAATTATACCATTTTAAAGAAGAAATTCTGTGCTATAAAAAGAACATAAAAAGTAAAAATTGAAAAAAATTAAAAAATTTCGACTTGGACTCCCCTTAACCTCAGCACTACTAGTCTCTTCACTTGAGTTAGAACAGGTACTAACATCGTTTTTCTTTGTTAAATAACGATCCATGTCACACAAAATCAATACTAACGACGTACAAAACAACACTAGCACTGACAGGTTAACTGAAAATGAGTATTCTGTTCTGTTGCTATGCTATCGCTTCTCTACGCCTAGCGCTTACTAGTGGATGATTAGTGAACTATTGGAAGGCAGATATGCCGTGCGCTACCGAATTCTACCGGCAAAGATTCGAACTATTTGTTAATGTTAGAAGCGGAACGTAGTGAATGGTAAAGGCGGTTTCACACTGGCGTCCGCGGACGGATGAAATGATTCGGATGGATGCTACGCGCCCCCTTCACATTGCGAGCTACGTTTCTTCAAACGTCCACTCATTCGCGCATGCGCATAGGGAAGTTGGAAGATTGGCTTGTATGGTAATCCACACTCGTCTGGTAAACACTTACTTTCAGAAATAGTGACGCAATATATACTATGTAGCGTCAGCTGATGACGTTGTCATAGCAACGCATTAAGTTAGTCTGATCTTTGTTTTTCTACAGGAATGTACACACAATTTAACTCTTATTAAAATACTTTTCTATTAATTATTTGGTCATAATTTTATTCTATGTACACGAACAACCACGACCAAAATGGTGACCCCGACTACAACCGTTATCTAAAGACTTATTTTCTTTGAAGAGTTTAAATCTTTTGTGTTTCCTCCTTCGAACGATGTCATTAGAAGACCTGCAGACTCAACTCGCCGAACTTAGAACTGCGAATGAAGAACTGCGTCAACGGATTGGACAACCCAGCACTTCTCAAAACATGTCGGTGAACAGAGTAGCCGTCAAACTTCCGCCCTTTTGGCCTGAAAGACCAAGTCTGTGGTTCTGTCAAGTTGACTCGCAATTTCTTATATCTGGAATTACCAACGACGACACCAAGTTTCACTACGTGGTCTCGCAATTGGACACAGGAATTGCTGCTGAAGTCGAAGACATCATAACAAACCCTCCTCAAGGCGACAAATACGGACATCTAAAAAAGAAACTGATTGAACGCCTCTCTGCATCCGAAGAGCAACGTGTGCGGCGGCTGCTGAGTGAAGAGGACCTTGGAGACCGCAAGCCTTCTCAGTTTTTGAGGCATCTTAGGTCTCTTGCGGGCTCGACTCCCCTTCAAGACAACATGCTTCGTCAACTGTGGCTCAGACGACTCCCTCCTCATTCACAAGCCATATTGACTACGCAACTTGAGCTCTCCTTGGACAAACTGGCAGAACTGGCTGATAAGATCATGGAGGTAGCTGACATTCCTTCAACACCTGGTATTTGTGAAGTCTCTTCAGGTAACACTTCTTTATTAAATGCAATAGAATCCCTCTCTAAACAAGTTCAAGCATTATCAGAAACCAGAGTACGAGATACACAGGTGAGACCTAGGGGTCGTTCCCAGTCTCGTGGTGGATCAGGAAACGAACCTAATCCCTCTAAGAACTGGTGCTGGTACCATAGAAAATTCAAAAACAATGCTACCAAATGTCTTTCTCCGTGCTCTTTTCAGGGAAACCTCAGCAACAATCCGTAGAGGCCGCAACGGATTGTTCAAATGCTGGCGGCCGTCTCTTTGTGATGGACAGAAATTCACGAACTAGGTTCCTTATCGACACCGGGTCTGATGTGTCGTGTTTTCCTAAACGCCTTATCAAATATAAACGTTTTCCTACTAGCTATTCACTAAGTGCTGCCAATAACAGTGAAATAAAGACTTATGGTACCATGCCTCTCACCCTTAATTTAGGCCTTAGACGTAATTTCCCTTGGAGTCTAGTGGTAGCGGATGTTTCAATACCTATATTAGGTTCAGACTTCCTTTCACACTATCACTTATTACCCGATTGCAAAATGAAATGTTTGGTTGACAAGAAAACGGGATTGAATGCCGAGGGAATAGTTTCTAACAACAATCAAACTAGTATTAAAGTTATATCTTTCTCTTCGCCATTGGCAGAAGTTTTTTCTGAATTCCCTGATATTATTCGTCCTCCAGGCTTACCTCGTGCTGTGAAACATAAAACAGTTCATCATATAAATGTTACACCTGGTCCTCCTGTTCACTGTCGACCACGTCGCTTACATCCTCAAAAATTGAAAGCTGCCCGGAAAGAATTTGAGGAGATGGTTAAGCTTGGTATTGCTCGACCCTCTGAAAGCCCCTGGTCCTCACCTTTGCACATGGTGCCTAAAGGTGAAAATGGATGGCGTCCTTGCGGTGATTACCGCGCTTTAAATGCTCGTACTGTTCCTGACAGATACCCTGTACCACATATTCAGGATTTCTCGTTCAATTTAGCAGGCTGTACGCATTTCTCTGCCATTGATTTGACCAAGGCTTACCACCAAATTCCCGTCCACGAAGATGACATCCAAAAAACAGCAATCACCACTCCATTTGGTTTGTTTGAATTTCCATTCATGACTTTTGGCTTACGCAACGCGGGTCAAACATTTCAAAGATTCATAGATGAAGTTATTCACGGCCTTGATTTTTGTTATGCATATATTGACGACATTTTAGTATTTTCCCAGTCTGAAGAAATACATAAAGAACACCTAAGAATGTTGTTTGAACGACTTTCTGACTATGGAGTAGTTGTAAATCCATCTAAATGTGTAATTGGTGTACCAGAAGTTAAATTTTTAGGTTACTTAGTCTCATCTGCTGGGACACGTCCACCTCAGGAGAGAGTCACTGCTCTACAAGACTACCAGTTACCTCAGACAATGCGTGGTCTTCGCAGATTCTTGGGAATTATGAACTTTTATCGTAGGTTTCTGCCAAAGGCCGCTGAATTTCAAGCACCTCTGCACTCCCTACTTAGTGACGCTGATTCAAAAGGTTCCCTCCCTGTGCCCTGGACTCCAGAGACAGAAGAAGCTTTCCAAGCATGCAAGGCTAGCTTATCATCAGCAACACTATTGTTTCATCCTAAACCTGATGCTCCTCTTGGTCTCTTTACAGACGCCTCTGGAGTAAGTGTAGGTGCTTGCCTCCAACAGTTTGTCGATGACTCTTGGCAACCACTAGGTTTTTTCTCCAAGAAACTATCATCCAAACAGTGCATCTGGCCTGCATACTACAGAGAACTCCTCGCTATTTATGAAGCTGTGCAGCATTTCCGTCATCTCTTGGAAACAACTTCTTTCACTATATTCACAGATCATAAACCACTTATTTATGCCTTTCAACAGCGCCGTGACAAGTTGCCTCCAGCTCAGTTACGCCAACTTTCATTTATCTCTGAGTTTTCGACAGACATAAAGCACATCAGTGGTTCACAAAATATAGTTGCTGATGCTTTGTCACGTGTTGAAGCCATTTCAACTGTTTTAGATCATGAATCCTTAGCCAAGTCACAAGAGTCAGACGAAGAACTTCAAAATCTCATTTCAGAAAGTACTACATCTCTTAGATTGGAGAAAGTTCCGATTCCTGGAACCCATTTGAGCCTTATCTGTGACACCTCAACAGGAACTCCTAGACCCTTTGTGCCATCAGAACTGCGACGTAGAGTTTTCGACCAGTTCCACAAGCTGAGTCATCCTGGAATACGTGCCACAACAAAACTTATCTGCGATCGTTTTGTCTGGCCTTCCATTCGTAAGGATTGCCACAAATGGACTCAAACTTGCCTCTCATGCCAAAGATCTAAGATAACTAGACATGTTTCTACTCCCCTTGGTGATTTTCATACACCTACAGAACGTTTTTCTCATGTCCACATTGACCTAATTGGCCCACTTCCCTTATCAAAATCTTCTAGGTACTGTCTAACTATCATAGATAGATTTACTCGTTGGCCTGAAATTTGTCCTATTGATCAAATAACTGCCGAATCTGTTACTGGAGCGTTTGTCTCTACTTGGATAGCTCGATTTGGATGCCCACAAAAGTTGACATGTGATCGCGGATCCCAGTTCACATCGACTTTGTTTAAAGACCTAGCACGACAGTTGGGCATAAAGCTCCAGTTCACTACCAGCTGGCATCCACAAGCCAACGGTATGATTGAAAGACTCCACCGCCAGTTGAAAGCTGCTATAATGGCTCACAGCAAATCAGACTGGACCGAAGTACTGCCGTTTGTCCTTCTCGGAATAAGATCTGCCTTCAAGGAGGACATCACTGCTTCATCAGCTGAACTGGTGTACGGAGAACCACTGCGTCTTCCGGGAGAGTTTTTCGTAATACCTTCCCACGAGAGCAACGAGCCACAAGAATTGGTATCAGGGCTGCGTAAGCATATGAATCGACTAAGACCTACACCCGCATCACGCCACATTAAACCAGGGTCGTTTGTGTTCAAGAACCTCAATACTTGTGACTTTGTATTCCTCCGACAAGACAGCTTAAGAAAATCTTTACAGGCTCCATATTCTGGTCCTTACAAGGTCATATGCCGTGACGAAAAGACAATTACCATCATTGTAAGAGGCCAAGAAACTAAGGAATCTTTGGACAGGGTCAAGCCAGCCTATATTATTGCAGATGAAAGTCCTATTCCTGAGCCCACGAAACGTTTGGTGCCGACTGGACAAGCAGAGGAATCCTCAAAACTACCACCATCTTGTCAAACTCCATCTACGAATTCTTATACAACTCGTTCTGGAAGACAAATCCGACCACGGGTTACTTTTCAAAATGATGTATAGATTCCTTTTCTCCGTGGGGGGCTGGTGTAGCGTCAGCTGATGACGTTGTCATAGCAACGCATTAAGTTAGTCTGATCTTTGTTTTTCTACAGGAATGTACACACAATTTAACTCTTATTAAAATACTTTTCTATTAATTATTTGGTCATAATTTTATTCTATGTACACGAACAACCACGACCAAAACTACTAATACCCTACAAATCATTATAATAATGATTTACTGTACAGTAATTCGTATAAATATACATGGTTATTGGTTAGGACTATCTCTTTGGAGTGTAGTCGCAATTTCCAACAAAGCTTTATCTTTCTCTTGTTGATCCCTACAGATTTCTATAGTTGTATCCCAGATAACTGGGTAGGCACGGACAGCCTAAAATAATTCAGCCATAACAAACAACAAGGGAGGACACAAAACAACAACTAGATGAACACTATGACTGTAAACTCAAAGTACTAAACACTGTGATGCGAGTGACACATGCCTCGCTAAGAGCTACACGTGGTTTGGTGCTCTGTCTGCGCATGCGCGAGGGCGCGATCGTCCGCGGACGTTTTAGAAAAATCGCTCCCAGAGCGATTCCGCCAAATCGTCCACGGACGAATTTCTGCATCCGCGGATGGACGCTACATTTCAATGGGCGGTGTGAACGATCCCATCTGATAACATGGACAGCGATTTATTTTCGCATCCGGATGCCAGTGTGAAACCGCCTTAAGGAGTGGAAGTTGGGGCATGACTTCATAGATTCAACACTGACAAGTAATTGTACGCAAAAGAACGTGCTGTCATGAATGCGCAACAGCACTTAAAACACGTCTATTATGAGATAAAAAAATGTTAACTACTTAAAATTTCGCGGCACACCGGTTGGGAAACACTGATCTAAAGTACGGTGGATAGAAATGTCGATTAGCGGAAAAGCAGAAAGAAACAAAAGAATTGCTGTTAAATTGCATGCCAATAATTAGTTCGTGTTACTGCTACACACAGATGGTCTGTGATATTAGGAGGTGATCACTGGTGTCACCGAGACCAAAAGATATAGAAAGATGGTTAGATTTCATGGGTGATGCTACAATTGAAATCTTGGTCTTTGAACAAGTTAATAAGTATTTTGGAGAACAACTTGTTTAATGTATCCCAATTTGGATTTAGAAAGGGAATGTCCACTATTGATGTGCTTGATAATCTAATTTGTCAAATTCATGAGTAATTTGAAAATAGGTTATTTGCTCAGGGCACTTTTTGTGACAAGTTACAATTAATTAGTGATAAGTTTACAATTTCTCTGGTGGTGACAATGGTGATGCAACTATGTGAAAAAAATTAACATCGTCTTGAATACAAAAGTTCACTCATAATGACATGATTTTGTTTGTAATTTTTGCCATTTTCAAAAACTTTTAAACAAACTAAATTTATGTTCTTTCACAAGAGAAAGATCCTGCCCCGTCCTTTCTAAATTAAAAGTACCTACAATAATGTCCATCCCTACTTCTTGTTTGTATCTCATGATAAATTCCTCTATAGGGAAAGGATCCTAGGTCAACACAACCCCGAGGTGCCACACTCAGTGATATTCCGTGGAGCTGTGTTTGCCGACAACGCAAGGTTTGACAGATGTATACAGTTGTGGCTGCACGCGTTGTACTTGTGTCAACTCAACAAGGTTTCCGTAGTCAAGGATCTGCTAAGGTTTGCTCAGGTAACTTATTCTTAGATTTGTGATTTGTTAAATAAAGAAATAAGGGCCTATCAGATGGGTTACCTTAAAAAAGCACAAGTAGGTCATAAAACATACACAAATACCCAAAATGTAGCTAGGGGTTACACATACTCGTAGATTTAAGGACGTAATTTGGATCAAGAAGGACGATGTTACGAGGGTTTTTGTTAGGATAGACTTACCTGATTGAGCGTTCATATCCATGCAGGTTCAAGAAACTCTAGCCCAAGAAACAAAAACCTTTACACTACACAAATTAGAATTATTTCTATTGCTCCTCCCATACAAAAACTTCCTAAAAATTCCTACCATGAACTGTAAATTATCCTTATTTTTGATTACTGTGCAAGGTTAAACCGTTTCTTATATTTCAGAGTAGACTCCTCAACCCTTCACAAAAGCCTGCAATCCTCACTAAAAATCTAAAAAAAAACTACCTCTTACGCTACATGTTCCATCTTTTATGCTAAGGTTTGTCATCCTCAGGGATAAAATTTTAATGTATGTTTCTGATTAGTTAACGTTGTGCATTTTGAAGTTTATTTGACCAACTTTAAAACTAGCTTACCCAAATAAATTGATATATTTTTGGACTTCCTGGTTGTATCATTCATCCTAACCAAGGACTTAAAATGAGGTTACTAACCTGTTGTCAATCAGTCCTCTATTGTCTTGGATGACTAGGCCTATCCATCGGGGTTAAAACCCCATTTTAAAATCTTCTCTTCAGTCGTCAAATGTCAAACATATTCTCTTGCATAAGCCGTTGTCAAAATTACTTCACACATACACATAAATACATACACAAACATTTATAATTACAAATCATGTACATGCGCGTGGGCCAAGTACAAAACCAGACAGTCAGAGAAGATTTGAAAATGGGGTTTTAACCCCAAAGCTATAGTCATCCACGGCAATAGAGGACTGATTGACGACAGGTATGTAACCTCATTTTATGTCAATAGATCAATCCTGCAGGCAAATTATGTATAAACTAACCAAGGAGTGAACAGTTTTGGCCGTCATTAGTCACAATTGACAAGAAACACACTTTATAAAAAAAGCCTAGGCTTCAAATTTCACAACAAGATGAAACGAACGATAACTAGTAAAGTAATAACCAAGGTCAATGGTTGGAATAGGACTACCCAGTGTAACTTAGCGGCTGTCAACTTGTCACAAAGTATTATAACAGTGGTTTTACAAATTTGCTTGGTTTTTCAGGTACAAAAAATCGTACAGTAAACATCTTGTTAGGGTAAATTGGAAATTTCAAGTCCCTTTCTTAGTGATATTTGATATTTGATTTAAACTATTTGAACAAATGTCCAAGTATTCTATGTTTAACATGTGACAGGTGTAAATATAACTGGTAGTGGTGTCGGAGCAGTTGTAGATTGTGATAGCATCGTAGTGTTTCCGTAGTAGAATGCTCTGGCACGCAGCCATTTGTGTCTGTCCTATTTGGCTCTCGCTCATTTCCTATCTGCGTGCTTGCCATTTTGGTTAAAATATCCGCCACACTTTCCAAGATTGGATACTTTCCTTTTCTAATCAATTTGAGTAACGTTTTATGTTTTCTAAGGAAGGTTTGATTAACTTTAGCTGTTGGGGTAGAATATTGATAAGTTATTCCAAAACAAACGCATAAAAATTAATATAGTAAATTGTAACTACCTCTAGGAGAGAAGTCATCTTATGCCAACTTAGTGGCAGTTTTGGTTTAATGTCGGTTTATGGGACATCAATCAACCTACCTTTCATGGAAAATGGTGATGGATAAAGAGCATCCCAATAACATTTACTGGTTAAAAAAAATTATTTAAAATTGAAGTTAAATAACATTTAGGCTTAACAAGCACCTAATGCAGAGATGATAATGAGAAGTGTCCTTTTTTACTAATTTTAACTACGGTATCAATAAAGACAATTAAAATCAATTAAATTATATGAAAAACTTCAAATTTAATTAGTCTTTAAACTCATGTATAGGTCTACTGTAAAAAGTTACAACTTAATTTTGTTTTTATCTACTGTATTTTGTAGTTTACTTGAGTTATCATGATGTCAAAGTATAATTTTCCCTCTTCACCAATGATCATTTTGATTGGTCTTCTCTTTCATCTTTTTTCAAGTTTTTCACTTGTTCCTCACTATTTAAGTGATATTTCCTCATTAACGCTATAGCAACCAGTTGGCCCATTGTGACCAAAGATACTACTGGCAGCCATTGGCTTTTGCCCACATACCTTTTGGTCCACATTAGTACAGCCCTGAAAGTCTCACTTAAAAAAAAAAGATTCTGCCTATTTGGTTTAAACTTATAGTTTAGTTTTGGGTTCTGAACACTTTGTGTACTATGTGTTAATGTGCACTAATTACATTTGTGTAGTTGTATACAATTTATATCCAAATATGTTTTTAACTCTTGGAGGTTATTGTTATCTTGAAAGATTTACATGTATTCATTGTTTATTGTTGTCTAAATTATACAAAATCAGATGTTTTTAAGTAGGTCATTAGTTAAATGATCTGTATGGAAGTACTACATGACATTAAAACTAAATCAGTTGGTATATTCAATTTTAACTAAAAAAAATACTAGATTAAGTTTTTGAATACTTGACTTGAGTAGACAATCACACCAATCATGTTCAGCTTGTTATGTTCATATGCTTCTGGTCTTGTTGTTATATGTTGATGATTATTCAATCTGCTTAGGAAGAGTTTTGATAAACTGTGCTGTGTGCTAGGTTCTACCATGAAAATGTTTTAGTCATTTGCTCTTCTTGTGTGGCAGAAGTGAAAATTTGCATAACATAGAAGGGTTAGCTGGCTGCAAACATTACAACTGCATACTATTTAGAACACTGATAGTTATAAATTTTAGAAGATTTAATGATTCAAAAGCTAATGGGAAGTAGTCTCTTTGCGTCAAGGTTTGTGTGTGAATGTTTTAAAGGTGTTTGTTTACCCGTTTCAGGACTATAGGTGGATATATTCGCTAGCATTTTGTGCATAGCAGACGGTAGGCGAATATATCCGCCGATTATTACAACAGTTATTGTTGTAAATGATTGTCTAAAACTTAGGGATGGACAAGATTGGATTTTTAGTTCGAGACGAGACGAGACGAGATTTTTTATTTCTCATAAAATTTCGAGACGAGATCGAGACGAGATTTCTCTTCTCATACACAACGGGAAATGCACGTTCAAAATTTTTACCTGATTTTGTAACATTGTTAGATGACTGTTTAAATACTAAAATAATGATAATAGGCAAGAATATTTACAATCTTTCATTAAATAACATCAGCATAACATTTTTTTATTAATCACGCCTAACTTATTAAAAATGCCTACGATTAGGAAACATGGTGATATCAGTTAGGATAGAGTTCAACTTATCCTAAAATAAAATAAATCATAAAATAAAAGCAATATTAATTTTTATAAAATAGTTACTTGTTTTGACTTTTTTATAGTAATAAAACATTCCTCACACTGCTTACACTTAACAAAACTTCTCAAATGTTATTAAAGTAATATTATTAAAATAATGAAAGTAATATTTACATTAAAAGAATTAAAGTAATATTTACATTAAAAGAATTAATTAAATAAGAACGCCTTCGAAAAGGAAACGCAACTACAACACGCTCCTGTATTGCGGGTATTGCATTGACTTTCTGCAGGCGTTTTTAATTTTTTTTTTTTTTTTTATTCTTGTCTCGATAAAAATCTCGGCCAAAAAGTAATCTCGTCTCGTGTAACGAGATTGAAAATGTCCCGAAAATTTCCCGAAATTTCGAGACTTGACCATCCCTACTAAAACTTAATTATTAATCATTCGTAAAACCATCTTTTTATTCAATTATATCGTTAACCGATGTACTAGGAATGTTTTTCGAGAAGGAAGAAATTTAATTTAAAAAATTGTTTTTATGAAAAAAAGTAAAAACAATTATAAAAAATGTAAAAAAAAAATATTTTGGACAAAAGTGCTGCATAGATCAACTATTTACAACATTCCATAAATTATAGATGTACAAAAATATTTTATGGCTTTTATTTAAATAAAATAATTTTGCTGTCTGTAATATGTATGCATACTATAGGCCGTCTGAGAAGGGTTAATTTTGAGGGCCAGATAGTTTTTTTTCATAAGATAATTTTAATGTGTGTGGTTGTAGGTGTTTTCTCAGATGATCCATGTAGGCGTAGACCTCTGCTTCTCGCATGTAGAAAGTGTGTTGGCAGCGGCTGTGTTAGAACTGGAGAGGAACAAAGAGAAACTGGCCAATCCTGGACCTAAAGATGACGTTGCTCAGATCACGGTAAAACCAACTGTTTAGTATCATCGTGAATATAGATATTGCATGTTGTGTGTGTATACATTGTTGCATAAATTAGATCATGTCTTAAACTATTGATAGAACTTCACATTCCATCATCTTGTTAAAGTTGTTGCCAGGTTTTAAAATCAAAATGGATGTAGTTGACGTCATTGCGCTGATATAAATCACTGATTTCTGACGAATATGCGGAGTTTTCAACCAAGTCAAACTAATAGGATGACTTGTAAGCTGTAGCATCTGTTATGCTCCATCAACAACCTTGGTAACAAATAATAAGAACAAATATATAATTTTAGATACTAGCGCAATCTATGACTGGATCACAAAACTATGTTCATTTTCAATAAACAATTGGCTGGTCCATATAGATGGGATATCTAGTATCCAAAAGTCAATGATGATTAATTTAATTACTACACTGGAGCTTTTCAATGGCTATTTAGATTTTATTTGACAAAAAGCTGCGTACATTTTTCCATGGATGTTATTTTGTCGAATACACTTATTTAGTCAACTAATCAGGTTCCTAATGGTTAATGTTCTTGATTGTGATTTTTTGTATTTGCAGGAAGAAATGGAGAGCAATGTAATCACAGCTCTGTACATTCTGGTAATTCTTACAAAGCTGATGAAAACCTGTAATGCCAAGGAGGAATACAGAGTGCATCAGTTGGTGTTCAGGCTCAACAAGCTTGGGGTAAGCCACCTAGAGAAGTTTCAGTTTTATAACTGTTACTTAAATCTAAGCACAGTCCTGCAGTGATGCGCTGTCAAGAAATAAAGTAAGCTTTGATAATGCTAAGGATTCAACTACTTTGTGGTCTTTGGGCTGAAAATCACCATTTTTGGATTAGCTAGATTAAAAAAAATGAGTTAATAGTTTTAGTTACTAAGTAAATATTTCAATTTTAAGTGTTATATTTTAAGTGAATTTTTAATTTAATTTACTTACAAATTTAGGAGACAATAGGCAGGATGAGCAGGCTTCTGAAAAAATTGTAGGCATCTCACTTAACTAAACTAAAGTAACACAGAATAAAACACAAAGGAAACATTGAATATTCCTAAGTGAATTGAGAATCTAGTGATGTTCTGGAAGTCCTTTACTGGTTAAGGAATCAGTGTTGCCAACACAATATGAATTTACAAATGGATATTTACAAATGTATACTGCAGTAACTTTGCCTATAAATTATTTTTTGCATTTAATAGAGTAAGTTCTTCATTCAAATATCTCTTCACTCTAGAGAGACCTATGTTTTCAAGATAGGTTGACTTACAGTTAAAGGTGGGCTCTTAACCTCTGGTTGTTGACATTATTAAATATTTAAAAGGCTAGCCATTGGTGTTTTTAAGAGGGATTTTAACGAGGCCTCCATTATGCCTAGTTATTAACATGTGTTGGATTTTTTATTATTTCCCAATTCATACACACAGTTCACTGCTGAAGTAACAGTTCCCAAACAACCCCTGAATCTTTGGAGGAAAAGAAATCTTATCCTGAAAAAAGAATAAATGAAAATTCATCAGAAATCAGAAACGTTTTATTGTCCTTCAACATTTACAACATGCAATACACAAAAGTCAAGAAAATTCATCAAAAGCAACCCAACAAATGAAAATAAGCAATATTTTAATTAATTGTAATGTCCTTGTCTAAAACATTAAACTATCCAATCCATGGCCTCCTAACAAACCTAATTGTATTGTGTTCTTCGTAGGTTGCTTCAAGACACGGTCAAACTCTACTTCATCTTTGTGTCAATGCTGAGACACCAGTAGACAACTTTCACACAAATGATGTCTGCAAGTATGAGAGAAATAATTAAATAGGCCTATTATTAATTAGCCTACGTTTAGTAGGGGTTTAGGGGAGCGAGCTGGTCTAGTGGTTAGAGCGCGGGACTCCGGTTCATGGGGTCCCGGGTTCAAATCCCGCTAAATCACCAATGGATTTTATCTAAGTGATAATGCCGGTAACCCCTTGGTCCAGCCTGAAGTAATGTGAAAAACAATTCTGGACTCATGCCTAGCGTCCTAGGACAAAAAAATTAGATTTAGTTGCATTTGTCATACTACTCATCAATAAAAAATTTTGTAATAATACTCATATTAATGTACTCTCTGTCTCAATTGGTCAACTCGAGGCATATCCTTATCCGTACTAAAAAGAGTTACATCTTACAGCCATGAAAATACAAAAATAATAGGTCTAGTGTTTCAGAATAACACATGATTTGTACAAAATTTTAACTCCCACAGTAATAAACATGTACTTTAAAGAAACAGTTTAAAAATCTGTATGTACTGAACAGCGCTTGACAAACAGCTGTTGACTTATTGGTTGTGTAGCGCATTTATGGAAGAACTTAAGTCATGAAAGACTTAACCAAAGAAACCAGTACAAAATTCCATAATTTAATCTCTCTCACTTAGCTCTATGGGTAAATCTATTCGGCGTTATTTTCCAAAGTTTTTTTGATATTTTGGCCAATTTAATATTGAAACGTTACCCTTCCCCGACGGGTGAAATTGTGACATAGGACGGGGAAAAAGTAGAAGAAAAAATAAAAATTAATTTTCCTTATTTGTGTTTTGTTATACAAGTATACATTAAATAAACAATGGAACACTTCATACTGTCAAAATAATTTTTTACTCGTTTTTAACTATGCGGATATATCCGCTACCCGTCCGGGGATGAGTATAAATGCAGCGGATATATCTGCCACCCGTCTTTGAAGATATGACCATGACAACGTTAGGCAATAAATAAAGAACAATATGTAAACAATAAATAAAGACAACGTAATGTTGACTAAATTTGCCTGTTGAAATAAAGGATTTTTCATTTCATTTCATTTTTCATTTCATTTCAATGTTGAGCGCGAAACGTCGAGGGGGCGTAGGAGTGGTGATATGTGCGTGGGAGGAGGGGGAGGCGCAGGAGAGGTGTCGGCGCGGATTAGAGGGGGGAGAGCGCAGTCATGGAAAGAGCAGGAAAGTGGTGCCTTGGTACCGTGAAACATCTGGTTACTGCTCAAGCACCTGCCAGTCTGTCTGAAGAGAAGGCGAATATAACCGCTTCCCGTCCGGAACGTCAAAAACCATAAGCGGATATATCCGTCACTAGTCCTTTATTGCCAAAGACTTTGGCGGATATATCCGTCACCCGTCCGCGAAGGGTTAAGTGAATGTTACCATGCTATTGTCTAAAAGCCCTATGTTTCTCTACAATTTCATATGTAGGCCCATGTCCTCATTTTGTTGGGCAATTAAGTTTCAAGACAAAAACTATTTACATTCAGTTTCTAAGCAGAATCAAGCTAAATTAAAAAAAAATTGATTGCAAAGTTTGTACCGGACAAGAAAGCGAGCTAATAAAAACGTTTTAAAATTAACATTACTTTGATAGAGCCACTTGTCAATAATTCATTTTTCACTACACCACTGTAAAATGAACTGTTTTTGTTGCATGTTTATCATCCGCAAAAATTCATCATTACATTGTTTACTACGGCAAAAGAAGGTTTACTATGCAAAAGTAATTTTTAGGGGTGTGCGATGCATCGAAAATGCATCGAAATTTCGATTCGATTCGATTCGATGCATCGAATCGCGATTCGATTCAGTGGTGGTCAAAAAACGATTCGATTCACGAGGGAGTCAGTATCCATATACGAAAAACGCCTGCAGAAAGTCAATGCAATACCCGCAATACAGGAGCGCGTTGCTGTTGCGTTTCCTTTACGAAGGCGTTCTTATTTAATACATTCTTTGCATTAAATATAGCTTTAATTGTTTTATATTTTTTTGTTTTGACATTGCAAATGATTAGAGGTTTTGTTTTTTGTCTTGATGTAAGCAGTGTGTGAAATATTTTACTACTGTGAACCTAGCCAAAACAAGGTAGGTTACTCCAAAATCATTTGAAAAATAAGTCTGAAAAATTGTTACTTAATACTTAACTAGTAAGATCAATGTTATAGACTGATACATTTGGTATTTTTGTTAGGTGTCTGTCGGTCCCCGTCCCCGAATTTTTGTTGGGGCAAAAGAAAAAAAAGAATAATTTATTTCCAAAGAAACACTCTTATATTATTATATCTATTACAGAGGAATTAAAATGTTCAAATGAGAATTAAAAATTAAGTTGGCTCACGACCTTTAAGAATAAAGACACAACAGAGCAATTGCCGCACTGCCACTAGCCAGAGCCAGGTCTAGTCGTCTACTGATAAGAGTAACAAGACAAAAGCCGTGACGCAACACTAACAGTGCAAAGAAAACAGAGTCAAAAGAATAGAAAGACTATTTATCCAGACATATTAGTATAACCATTTATTGTTCATTCAATACCTAATTAAAAATATATTTAGTATTTTACATAATAAATTATAAACAAAAGAAATATCTGATATAGTAAACAGATCTGTATCTTGGTTAAATAGTGTTAAAAAAATATATTTCTAAGATCCAATACAATATTTACAACTCACAAATTACATTGAATTAATTTCTTTGAAAATAATCTCTAACAGTTTTGTGTTTTTGAATAAAGAAATATATTTCTTTGTCTCTACTTCCTTGTTTCATCACTTGCATTTTGTCAGCAATTGAAGCAACTGGGTAGCAACCGGGTGGTGTAAGAGGGGAGGGGGAGGGTCTATGACCTTGAATTCACACATCGTTGCCCGGGCCTGGCTGGTGAGACTGATTCATTGTTTTTGTTGACATACTACTACCCTTCCTTAAGAGAAAAAGGCCCTGCTGTTCCAAAAACATTGAGGGTAGTTTAAAAACATTGACCTGTGTTGCCAAGGGCACTAGAAGATAGCATTTAACTTTCTTGTCTCTTGATTTAATATTATTTTAATCTTCTATATATTATTTAAGAGTTACTTTTCGGGTACCTAATTAGTTGTGATATTGTTTAGCTTCATTTTATGGATTTTTAATTCTTTTCATTCATTAGCTATCAAAATCAGTTGTTTTAGGATTTTAATCTCTTGCAGTACCGGTAGGTCTATACTACTGTATGACATTATATGCATTTTTTAGTCCTTATTAATTATACCATAAACAATGTTTGTATGTTATTTACTGTTTTTGAGTTTTATAGGAAATTAGTTTACACAATATCTTTTCTTCAATGAGTTCTCTACTTGACATGTTGCTTCCAGCCTATTACTATTTTAGGCCCTATAAAAATAATGCCTATGTAAAGCTGTAGGCCTACTGATGCCAATAATAATTCTTTATTTATGATGATGTAACAAATAATGTAAGTGTGAGGTTATTATACTAAGGAGGTTAGGAGGCAGGGAATGAATGATACATGTTGCATGGTGGAAACATATTATTTTTATTTTCTTCTTGCTTGCAGTCCTGAAGCCGGTCCACAGGCCCTAAACTTGTGATATGTAAATTTATTTCTTAATGGTCTTTTTATATTAAGTTCCATTCAAATTTGTTGTAATTTAGCTACCGGTACCTATTTAGTTATTTAAACAGTTATTAAAATGAGAATGAGTGTCTTGATAAAAAAAATATTTTCTTCTTTCTTGCAGTTGAGCCAATTCCAAGTAAAAATTATGAAATAGGCAAGTAAAGCAGCTCACTGGTATTTCCAGCAGTTATTCTAATACATATGATTGAAAATAAATATTTTTTCACCTAAAATTCATATGTAAGTATGAATAGGCCTAATACCACATCAACAAAAATTTGTATTACACAAATGTGATAAATTTTAATTATTGTTAATCCACTCAATTGACAATTATGAATAGAAAAATACCGTATTGCTTCGAATCGAGTTGCATCGAATCGAATCGAAAATCTTTTGAATCGAATCGTTGCTTCGAATCGAAAATTTTTTGCTGCTTCGCACACCCCTAGTAATTTTTACTATCTTTTATGGATTTAGCCGACGTAAACAAACAAATATTTGTTATTGTTTTGTCAAATGTTTTAATTTCCAACAACCAAAACTGTACAACCAAAGTAAATATTAACTGTTTATTTAATATTGATGTTATAACCTGAAAAATGCTCTGAGTTTTGTAATGTTCGAGAAAATAATTAGTCTTTAAGTAGTGTAGCGAAAAGTAACGTTCAAAACACGAGTGAGAGTGTTCTCAAACATGGTCTCAAATATGTAATGACTTACTTTCTACTCTTGTTATGAAATATACTATTCCCTAATTGTAACTGCACATGCACAATAATTAAACTGGCTGTTAAATTTGCTGCAGAAATAATTTACAATACCTTGCATTCTGCTAGTTCAAAAACATACTGCATACTTTTAAAACAAACTTTCTAGTTTTACTATACTTTTACGATACTTTCTAGTTTTGCTATACTTTTACGATACTTTCTAGTTTTAATTAGAACTCAATACATTTTTTTTGTTACACTTTACAACCAAATGTGACTGATAGTTGCAACATTACTCAGTCTAACTAATGATTGGTGTGTTCACCAGGTTCCCCTGCTCTGCCACTGCTAAGCTTCTCATTCAGTGTGGGGCAGATGTGAATGCCATGGATAGAGACAGGAACACTCCCCTCCACATCATAGTGTGTTACCAGAAACCTATTAGGTAGGTGTAGTCATGTTTGACAAGTTAATCCTAAGTGTTCAACCTTGTAAGCCGATATTATGAACCATCATTAGTGACAGAACATAGGTTGTGTTACTACTTGCAATCCTGGTGGTTAGCATTTCAGATTTTATCGCAACAGGGTCAGCTACAATCCTCAGCATATCCTTCTTGGGGACTTTAAAAGGATTTAGCATGCTTTTTCAAAGAGCTATCCCCATTGTTCGTAGGGACAGTTTGATTTGATCAATGGCCGAACAGACTGAGGGGGTGTTTCCCCAGCTAGGAGACATCACTGTATATCATGACTCAGGCTTGAATCATGTCTCAGATCAACCAAAACTTAAATATAGCTGGGCTTATGAGTTATACAAATTAACAGGCATTCACCAGGTAGTAGAGGTTGGTGGAAGAGACCCACTTGAGATAAACCATGTGTAGGCTTCTATGATTGTAAGTTAACGAGACCGATGGGTTATCTGGGAGTTGCAATCTCATCTTGTATTTCTTACACTATACCTGTAGTTTGTGTTCATAAAAAATATGATTTACAAGAATTTAGATTTTCTTGTTCATAAGATAGTAAGACTATAAAAATGGGCTAGTTAAATCATTAAATAATTCCTGGGGGTCATAAGAAGGGTTAACCCTCTAGTCCTTAAATCAAAAAAAAAATATCAAGGCTCGCACACCTCTCCTATTGTATCAACTGTGTATCTTTTACTTTATTGCTGGTGCTTATATCTCAGTCAAACACTCTGTATTGTTTCAGTGATTTCCTGACCCTTCACTCGATTATAATGGAGCTCACAGAAGCTGGAGCCCACATGGATTCTGTCAACACCATGGGACAAACACCTTTCGAAGCTGCAACCACTGGTAAATGTCTTTTGTCTGTTATAAATACAGGCAATAATAAAAATATATATACTCTGTTTGTAGTATTAATACCTGAAGTGATTGAACGATTGAAGATTAAGCAATGTACTAGTAATGTGTAAGTAATTACTAGTGATTTTTAGGCGACTGCATATTTTTTTATATACAGGGTCGGAACGGGAAAAAACTTTGGCCTAGGGGTCTTGGATCAAAGGGGGTTCATTGGAATGTATTGATTTAAAAAAAATATTAATTATAATGCTACTATTGGCCTACACAAAATTGTAGACTATTTCTCAATGTCATCGCCATATTATGTAAATCTTTCAAGGTCTTCAAAGGCAAAATTGTGAATGTCCTCCGCAGACACGGCAAATCATGAATATCTACTACGATTACGTCAAAATTAAGAACATTTTCTGCAGTCAGGGAAAAATTTAAGCCATCTTCTACGATCACGGCAAAATGAGAACATTTTTTGCTCTAACGGAGAAATTTAAATCTATTGTGAGATCACAGCTTAATTTTGAAGATCTACCTTGGTCTAGGCAAAGTGGTGAACATTTTTTGTGGTTGACAAAATCAAGAACATCTATAATCACGGGGAAATCAAGAACATCCTCCATTGTCACAGCGAAATATTCCCACATTACCCCAAAAATTACGGGGGTCTGCAATTTTTACTGCATTTTCCATACTTCCAGTATCCAATAGTCAATGCTTCCATGTTCAATTAATTGGTTGTTTCCTTGTAGTATACCTAGCAAATGTTTACAGGTGTGGCTGAGATCATATTGCGTACGCAGACACAGTTGAGTCTAAAGTGTCTGGCAGCCAAGTCTGTTCAGATGCACAAGATTCCGTATGTAGGACAAGTCCCTCAGTCTCTAGAGAGCTTCATAGATCTCCACGGACCAGGAGAGACTCCTCCAGAAGATTCATGAGTCAGGTAAAATCTTGTTAACAGATTTAAATTCATTTAAAATAGTTTATTAATTTTACAATTTGTTACCTAATGAAAATTTACTCATTTGTCACTGTGTTATCTCTCTTCCACTGTGTTGTTATATAATTTGTGTTTTTCACTTATTAGAAGTAAATTTTTGATTTTCATAGTCCACAACTCTGTACATGTATTATGTTGTTTTTATATTTTGTTGTTCCTGTCCTGGGGGAAGAGTGGACCTTTGGTGTAACTCAGGGCAGGTTAAATAAAGAATTTGTCATTTGTCATTCCACTATGAACATCATTTAGACTTAAAAAAATACTAGTTTTAGTTGGTAAACAATAAAATTGCAGATGGTCAGATTTTTTAAAGTTTTATTGAAAACCAACAAACGATTATATGTCATGATAAAATGTTGTTTTAAAATTAAGTTCAATTTATCTACGGAATTGATCTAATTTATGTTTGAGTTTGGGTTGGTAACAGTTGAATTTTTCTTAGTTCGACCAAAAATTTCCACTATTAACACCGAGGGACCGAGCCATGGCTTGGTATAGTTTGTTTCAATTGTAAAAGCAATAGGGATGGACGGGTCCCGAACTTTTGGGAATTTTTCTGGAAAAAAATATTCCCGATTATCGGGACGAGATTACATTTGATTCGGGAATTTTTCGGGACGGGATTTGGTACGATCGTCGGCGATTTTGCCGCTTCGCGAGTGCCGATGACGCCGCTATTGCGAGCGATAAGTCCGCGAACGCAGGAGACGAAATCATACCGACGATCATGCCGTGACCGCGAGTCATGCCGACGATTGTGCCGTGATCGCGAGTCATACCGACGATCTCGCCATGACCACGATTCATACCGACGATCACACCGTGACAGCGAGTCATACCGACGATCGCGCCGTGACCGCGGAGTCCTACCAACGATCGCGGAGTCATACTGACGATCATGCTGTGATGGCGAGTCATACCGACGATCACGACGTAACCGTGGAGTCCTACCGATGATCGCGCCGTGACCACGGAGTCATGCCGATGATCGCACCGTGATCGCGAGCCATACCAACGATCATGCCGTGACCGCGAGTCATGCCGACGATCGCGAGTCACACCGACAATCGTGCTGTGATCGCGAGTCATACCGACGATCACCCGGTGACTGCGGTCATTTTGACGATAGGTACCTGTAAATTGTTACCCATTTTTTGGTTTTTTTATAGATCAGTGCCACAAACGGTAAAATTCGATTTCATTTCGTAGGCTTATGTCTTTTTTGGTAACTGCAATACTCAAGACTTTCTTTTCATGCACAGAAAAAAATCCCGTCCCGTCCCGTCCTGAAAATCGGGAAGAAAATAAAAATCCCGTCCCGAACTAAAAATTCAATCCCGTCCATCCCTAAAAAGCAATATATAAAGTAAATCACGTTTTATTTACAACTAATTTTGTGCTTTTATTTTTTTAAGTTTCAATGGAATTTCAATCTATTATGATGAACATTTTAACCTGGCTATCCACAACACATAAATTTATTTTACAGTCGATGGTAAAAATATTTGTTTTTAATAGCTTTAATTGGGGCTACAGAATACAGGGGCTGGCCAAGGCCACACTAAAAAACAGGCCGCAATGCTCGTCAAGCATGACGTCACGATAGAAGACGGCAATGACGTAGGTATTTATTTATTAATTTTCCAAGGAAAGATTAAAACAAGCAGCTGATCACAAATTGTCACAAACGGCAAACATTACGAAATTGCCGTCTTCTATCGAGACGTCATGCTTGACGAGCATTACGGCCTGTTTTTTAGTGTGGCCATGGCCAGCCCCTGTATTCTGTAGCCCCAATTAAAGCTATTAAAAACAAATATTTTTACCATCGACTGTAAAATAAATTTATGTGTTGTGGATAGCCAGGTTAAAATGTTCATCATTTTACAAGCAAAGTAATTCCACTGCCATGTGGCTGTGACGCACAGAGCATAGAATAAATAAAGAGTCGCCACACCTATACCTACATCTATACCAGTGTTGTGACCGTACTATTAAAATACACGCGCATTGTAACTTATATTTTTACAAAATAGATGTTTTTGTAATGTAATGTTTTTAAAAAGTAACAATAACAAGTGTTTTCTATTTAATATTTATCAACAGCTGACTATATAGAATAAAGATTATGACACTCTCCCTCACTTATTGAGAAGAACATAAACTATTTTTGAACGATAAAGTCTCGTAACCAAGGTGGCTGTCGTCGTTGTCTTATTGGTCGTGGAGAGCGAACTGGAATGTTAACTTCTGTAGGGTGGTCTGGTTCTGGTTCAATATGGTCGGGTATTTGATCAGGATACGATGGAGTTTGGTTTGGAAGTCTTGGTACATCAAATGATTGCTTAGGTCCAAATGTTACCATCTTTTCTTTCATTACTAGAGTTGGTCTAAGCTGGTTAATGTGTCTCTTGATATTTCTTCCACTATCGAGTGTTACTATGTAATGTCTTTTTCCTAGCTTCTTCTTTATTACTCCAAACTGCCAAACTTGTCTGTTGTTAGTGTACATTTGAACTTGCACTCTCTCCCCCTCTTGAATCGATCTGACAGGTTTTAAAACAGGCTGGATATTTGATTTAGGGTGTTGATAAGGAAATATGGCATCCAGTCGAATCCTTAGTTTTCTATTGAGGTAGAGTTCAGCAGGGGTTTGGTTGCTAGCTAATGGAGTAGCTCTATAACGGAATAAGATTCTTCTCACTTTGTCTGTCAGGGTTCCAGGTTCTTCAGAAGCTGACTTTAATTTGTTCTTCAGGGTTTGTACGTTGCGTTCTGCAAGGCCATTTGTCGCTGGATGCCCAGGGGCGATGAACTTTTGGAATATGCCGTTGATCTTGCAGTAAGCTCTGAATTCTTCACTTGTAAATATTGTAGCATTATCAGAAACGCATTCTTTCGGATACCCATGTGTAGCAAATATCTTGTTTAACAGATTGATTGTGTTTGAAGATGTTGGAGCTTCCTTCAACACTTCGATTTCAGCCCATTTGGATCTTGCGTCAATACAAACAAGAAAGTAGTGATTTTCATAAGGGCCGGCATAATCTATATGTATGCGGTCCCAGTTATTTTCAGGTAGGTTCCACGGATGTACTGACACTTTAGGTGGACTTGCTTTCACTAGGGCACAACTTTTACATCCTTTAACTAGTCTTTCGATTTCACCGTCAATTCCTGACCAGTCTAGGAGGATTAAACATTAAGGAGAGGGCACGCGAATAGGAATACACGTGTTGCGGTGAAGCCAGCTTTAGCAGAACACTAGAGGGGCACGCGGAGCCGTAGAGTGGCAAAAAGCCTCGGCTATAACATGGGAGAGATAGGGAAAAACGCGACGCGCGCTGTTTCGAATTAAAATTGCCGCTAAACTAAAACACCTGTGTTATTCACCGATGGCATTCTTAAAGTAAATTAAATTTCCTACCGAACGGTGTCAATCATTCCTATAAAAAATATTATTTATTATTTATTATTGAAGATCAAAGTTGAAAGAATTGACCTGAACTTTGAACATATGATTACTTTAATTACGTTTTTGAAAAAAATATGATGTATCTACACAAATTAACAATTTATTCGTGTTCCTTAAGAGTTTCTGGAAATAGAAAATATATATTTACCTATATTTAAAAGTGGTATTTAGAAAAATAATTACAAAAAAGTTTTTTTTAATCTTTCCAGTTTATAAAACAATCTTACTAATAATAGGTTAAAATGAAAATTTTAATTCGGGATGAAATACATTTTAAATTTGCATTTTTCATAGTTTTCTCGATTTGTTAATATAATTTTTTACTAGTTTTAAGTCATTTATGTGCTAGGCAGGTGATTTTAAATAGCCAAAGTTAAGAAAAAATGCAAAGCCGCTCTAACTTTTTTTACACCAACAGCCGTTACAATTAAATTACAATCATAAAAAGTAAAACAATTTCTTGGCAATCAAATTCTTGATTTTTTAAATATCATATTGAACTATATTTGATCTGTTTACCTAAAGAAACTTCGAGTAAAAAGTGTAAATGTTCAACAATCATCGCGTCTTCTGACCGCCAAAGTGCGTTTATCATTCTTTTAAAGGAAAAAAACTTATTTTATTTCTCTTTAAGAAAATGTTCAAATACACATACAGTACTACTCATGATTTGAGTTTTAATTTATGAACAGTAAAATCCATTGGTGATATGGCGGGATTTGAACCCGGGACCCCAGGAACCGGAGTCCCGCGCTCTGGTTAGAGTATTATAAATAAAACACAACACAAGTATGACAAAAAATAAAAACAAGGACAACGAATTCTAAAAAATAAGTCATCCTTGTGTAAATTACTCACTTTTGAACGTACTATTGGTTCATAAATATGACTTTCCTCTTAATAGGTTCCTAATATTACGGTTAGAATTTAACTTTTTAATTTTCGTAGCATGATGAAGTCTAATTTTTAAATAGTTATTTGATATTTCTGTTATGTACCAAATCTTCCAGTAAAGCATACAACGCAGTATGAGAGGGGGCGGGAGAGTAGCGCTGCCTCCCCCCCTCCCCAGTACGCTGGCTTCAACGAAACTACAGCGTGTCCTCTCCTTAATGTTTAATCCTCCTAGTGACCAGTAAACATAACGTCGAGCGAGTTGCTTCATTTTGGTTATTCCCAGATGAGTTTCATGAAGTTCACTGAGTATTTTGGAGCGTAAAGATGTTGGAATTACAATTCTGTCTTTTCGAAACAATATACCGTCAAGTAGGGTGTATTCTGAGTCAGTAGAATTGTTTTTCAGGGTTTGAACTATTCCATTCATTTCATGGTCTTTTGCGGTTTCTTCTTTGATTGTCTTTGAAGTTATTTCACGGTTGGATACTTGAAAAAGTGATTGAGAATAAAGCTGGTTCACTTCTTCCCCGATTTCTTGATCTGTTGAACTACTGCATGTTTTGACTGGAGATCTTGATAAACAATCTACATTTTGATTGCTACTCCCCTTCTTGAATCGAACAACGTAATCAAATCCGGAGAGGAATGAAGCGTATCGCAACAGGCGAGCTGACGTCATCTGTGGTAGAGCTTTATTTTGGTGAAAAATCCTTGTCAATGGTTCATTGTCTGTAACTAAAATGAACTTCTTGCCAAGTAGGTAGTTGTAGAAATGGTTCACACCAAAGATTATCGCCAATGCCTCTCGATCAAGTTGACTATAGTTCATTTCACTCGGATTCAAAGAACGAGACGCGTATGCTATCGGACGTTCTACTCCTTCGATTTCATGACTTAGTACAGCTGCGACACCTGTAGGACTAGCATCAGTTGTCAGGATGAGGTTTAGGTTAGGGTCGAATGGAATTATCACCCTGTCACTGCAGAGTTCCGATTTGAGTTTTAGAAATGCAGATTCACAAGTAGCTGTCCAAATCCATGGTTCTGATTTCTTCAGTAGACATCTAAGTGGAAATGTCATTGTAGAAAAATCTGGTACAAATCTTGAGTAGTATGTAACCAAACCCAAAAATCTTTTGAGTTCCTCGACATTGTGTGGACGTGGCATATCTTGAATCGCTTGAAGTTTGGATGGAGACTTGCTGATTTTGTTATGTTGAACAACATGACCAAGGTATTCCACTTTTTCAGTCATAAAAGTGCATTTATTTCTGTTAACATGCAAGTTGTAGTCGGACAGTCGTTGAAGACATGCTTGTAGGTTTTGAAGGCACTCATCGAATGTGTTTCCATGAACAATGATATCGTCAAAATAGGCTTCTGTTTTCTTTAGTCCCATGAGGATTTGAGATATGATCCGATTGAATTCGGCTGGAGCAGTTTTTATTCCAAAACTGAGTCTGTGGATCCTGTATGTACCTCTGTGTGTCGAAATAGTTTGAATTTGACTACTATCTTCATCAACTTGCAGGTGTAAATAAGCTTTAAATAAATCAAGCTTACAAAAGTACTTAGAGTTTCTCAGGCTGTTGAGCACGTCATCGATGCGACGTATTGGATGATTTGCTTGTACTAATCTGTCGTTAACCCCACATTTGTAGTCAACGCATAGGCGGATTCCGCCGTTAGGTTTGGGTATTACAACAAGAGGTGATCCCCAATCCGAAGTTGTGACTTTGGAAATTATTCCTTCAGCTTCAAGTGTATCTAGTTCCTTTTCAACTTGTTCTCGTAGTGCATATGGCACATCTCTTTCCCTCGTAAAGATCGGTTTTGCGCCTTCTCGAAGTTGCAGGGAGACTTTAAAGTTCGGAACGCATCCTACCTTTTCTTCAAAAATGGGAGCAAAATTACTTAAAATTTTGTTTATTGAATTTACACTGTGAATCGGAACGTGGTTTGAAGGTCTCTGAAACATTTCCTCATACACCTGTCGAAGCTCGATTTCTAACCCTCTAATCCACTGTCTACCTAACAAAGCGTCATGTCCTGCAGGTACGATGTGTAGTTCACCATCTATCTGTTTACCATTGTAAGATACAGTAACAGATACCTTCCCAACAGGTTTAATGATGTTACCTGTGTATGAACGAAAGCAAACATTAGAATTCTGTAGGGGAAGGCCAAGCTTGAGTTTCTTGAAATCACTTTCTGAAAGTAGGGAAAATTTTGCACCGGAATCGACTTCAAAACGTTGACGTTTGCCGTTTAATTCTACATCAATGAGGTATTTGTCGAGATCAGGAGTCATTTCAAAAAGATCTACTACAGTACAATTCATGCTATGAATGCCGTATGTTGGGTCATGAAAAGGTTGATTGAACTGTTCACTATTAGTATCTGAATTTAAATACGGTTCAACTGAATCTACTTTTGAATTTTTGAGTAGTGATTGAATGCAAACTTTTGATACATGACCTTTCCTTTTGCAGTTATTACACGAGAGCGTCTTATAATCTACTCTACAGTTACTTGCCTTGTGACTATTTCTACCACATCGCAAACATACGTTTTCAATTCCCAAGGCCTTGAAGTCAATGTACCTTTTTCGGGAGACAGATCTAGACGATCTAGACTTGTAGTTTTCAGGTGAAGATCTGTTGTTTGAATTTAATCTTCTGTTTCCTGGATCTTTCGAACGGTCTCTAGAAGTTCTGTAACTGCTGGAAATCACATTAGTAGATTCGGTAGAAGTAAAATTGTTAAAACTTGATGTCTGATTAGGTTTAGAAAGTTCTTTGCTGTCAAGTTTTGATGCCTCTAAAGCAATAGCCTTGTTGAGTATTTCGTCAAAACTAGAGAGATTTGATTGTAAAATCTGTTCTTTAAGCCAATCATCTCGAAGGCCACGGATGAACTGGGCTCGTAAAAATACATCAGAGATTGAATTTGTTTTCTCGCATTCACATTTAATTGTAAACTCACAATCGACCAAGTCTCGCTGAAGTGAGGCTACGAAATCTGATATTGATTGACCATTCTTTTGATAAATATTCAAAAAGTAATGTTGAGAAACGACTACATTTTTCTTAGGAACAAGCAATTGAGTTAGAACTTTGACAAGATCATCGTAAGGTAAGTTTTTTATTGGTTTCTCTGGGCCTAGAAAAGCTGATAGGGCATTGTAATGTACTGACCCAATAGATACACATAAGAGTTGAGCAATACTTTCCTTTTGAGTCAGGCCTTTCAGAGTATAGTAATTTTCAAAACGTTCTAGATAATTACAAAACTTTTCACGTCTAGGTTCGAAATTTTCAAATGGAGCAATATTTGTAAGACTTACTGATACCTCCGACTTCTCATGCCTTGTGAAATGTGAGAATAATTGTTGAAACTGTTCTTGTTGTTGCTGTTGAAAAACTTGTAGGAATTCCTTGAATTGGTTAGCATCCATTGTGGTTCAGTCAAATGTGATGAAAGTAGTGTAGGTTGAATGATTGAAACAGATTGAATAATAATTACAGATTATTTGAACGTGTAAAATGTCATTATTTCGGTTTTTACTCGTCGCCAAAAAGTGTTGTGACCGTACTATTAAAATACACGCACATTGTAACTTATATAACTTTATTTTTACAACATAGATGTTTTTGTAATGTAATGTTTTTAAAAAGTAACAATAACAAGTGTTTTCTATTTAATATTTATCAACAGCTGACTATATAGAATAAAGATTATGACAACCAGTAGTGAAGCTGAATTCCGCCATCTTGGTATGAGAGTCGGGCTCGGAACTTAGAAAACACAGCGTCGTTACCACTGTGTTATTCTATGCTACTTTATGAATTAGATGAAGCTGCGGGCTTTCAAAGTTCTGAGGTGAGAGTTTTAAAAGTAAATATGGATTGGTGGTTTCCATGGTAACTATATAATGGTTTAAATGTAAATGCAGACCGGGCCGGCCGCCATCTTGCTACGAGAAGCCTGCTTCACTCCAGACGGCAAGTGGCGCCTCTATATTTATTCTATGCTCTGTGCTGTAACGTCACCGGGAGGACTCCACAGGTTGAGCTAGCGCGCGGCCCATGTACATACCGCTCATTTACACGCTTCCCTAAATTTACATAATTCAATTGTCCGTATGAAACTTATATCGCTGTAATCTATATTTAATACCGAGTCTGACGGTCAAAAAATATTTTATTTATGATCAAGGATTACAAACACATACTTGCATACATATACAAATTACAAATTACATTTACAATAATTAATACATTTACATCAAGAATGATTTTCACCCTTTTAACAAACATTTGGCTTGTTTTAGAGGGAGAAAGCAATGGCTTGGGCCTGCATTTGACTGAACTGTAAATATCTACAAGACATATTCATCTCGACGAAAGATGACTAATGTTTACGTAATATATTTTAATAAACTATTTTTGTGTACAATTGGTGGTGCATTTACTTCTGTAAGTTGTTTGTTAAACTAACATGTCTATATTAGTAATGTGTTGAATTTTTTAATAATTACAATACTGGAAAAGGCAAACTTTTGACGTCATCATCCTTGTATTGTTGTTTGTCAAACAAATTATGTTCCTATCTTTTTGTTTCATCCTAGATAGATTTTATTTTAAACTTCCAATCTCTTTAATACATACACAATTAATAAACCAAATGATGTACTGTATTTTGAAAATTTTGATTTATTGTTATATTTCAATGTGGCCTAAGAGGTTAGCTGTAAGAAATTACCTCGATATTCTAAATAGGCCTCAACAAAGAAGAAATTTAATTTGTCTATTGAAAAATGTGTTTCAGAGTTTTCTTCAGATTTTACATTAAACTTTCATGTTTCATGGGGTCATGAACAGGTGAACTCTTACAAAACTATTATTATCAACTCTGAATACTCATTACAAACAATGTGTTGTGCAATATTATTCTTAAAAACATTATCATATGGATTTTGTGGAGGGGGAAATCTTAGAAGGGGTGCCTAATAGAAACCTATATTTTTTTCTACCTGATGAGTGAAGAACACTGGCATGGCATTATTGTATGTTAAATTGCAATCAGTAAATGTTTGAGTTGAAATGCAGCCATTTAGAACAGAAATTCAACCCTTTTAGTGAATTTCCATACAGGGAAGTAACTATTACCGCAAGTCTCATGATAAGACCTAAACCATAGACAAAAGAATGAAATATAGACTGACAGCAGTGCTGCGATTTGCATATATTCTGGTAATATATCTTGGTCTTAGTAATAACCTAATCAGGCAAATGGAAATTCGCTTAATGTGTAGATTTGCTGCAGCGGGGGTATTTGTTCTCTTAACATAAGCACTTTACTTTATTAAGGCAATTATTGCAGACATTTTGATGACAATTTTGTTGTTTACTAACTCAATATTAGGAAAAATAAACCCAATCAAAGAAATACACATCTAACTCAATTAAAAACAATATATAACAATATAAACAAATAATTGTAAAACTCCTTAGTTGGGTTTTAAATTTCTGTCATAATTTTTTTTCTTGTAAATGCACCATATATGTGGTGAAGTAATTTGTGAAGCGTTTTAGAATTGAAGTTTTTTAGTGACATTGAATATTGTTACTCATTAAGAGTACTTTAAATATTTTAAACGCTAAAGAGAATGTAATAGTTATACATCGAGTACAGTGTAACTTAAGATCACTTTTGTGCATATATTTAAATATTGAATATTGTACATTTTGTATAGGGTTGCTGATAAGCTGTGATTTTTAGGAAATGTTGAAGATCGTAAGATGTAAAAACATGTTAGTGGGAAGCTCAAAATAGTTTCTTTGTAACGTCAGTTTTTAAGTAATTATTTTACTAGACCAGGGATATTCAAATTGAATTATTGCTCTTACAAAAGAAATTTTAATGTTTGGGCAAGAGGTGTGCGAGTCTGAGATTTTTGATCGAGCTGAGCTTCGAAGCTACACAATACAAATCAGAGAGATTTTGATAGGCACATTGCACTATCATTTATGAAACATAAGTTGTCTTGGAACTTGAAGTATATCCTCCTTTATTACAAGGCCCTGGCGTTGGTGTGTAACAAAAACGTTGCCCTGGCCAACAAATTGCCTTTGTAATAATAGTAATGACAAAACATGTTATCATAAAAATTGTGCACATGTTCCGTTATGAATTAGTTCAACAGCTGTGTCAGTAGGTAGATTCTGCAGCAGTGCAACTTTTGTCTCACCGTGGCCTCGTACTACAGGTGGCTTATTTGGGTTAAGCCGAGTTTTTCTGTACTTATAGGTCAAAGATAGGACCCAGAGATTTTTTTTTTTTTTTTTTTTGCTTGGATGCACTATTTTGAGCTTCACATTTGTTAAAGTGTGACTTTGCTGTTTGAAAATGCTTGATTCAAATGGTTTATGAAGTTAACTTTGTTTAGTCAATATGTGTGTTACTACTAAGCGTAAAATGTGATATTGAGCTGAAATTTTTATTTGCTGCATAATTTTAGCAACATCACAAATAAATTATCCTATCAGTGAAAGGTTTGATCAAATAATCATAACCTACCAATGGAATATTATTATAAAAAATAGACTTTTGATTTGCATTGTAATCAATTTATTTACTTTTTTGTTTACTTTAGTTGAGCTGTGTCAATTCATACACACTTATTATGATAAAGATTAGAATCTTCCTTTTTATCTTGTATAAGGTTGGTTTGCTCATGTTATTATAATGTGTTAAATGGTTGACTTTTTAAGCTCTACTGTTCACTGTGCAATTATACTTTGATAAGCATTATTTATTTTGATTGCATAATTTCAATGATGTAATTTTGGAAATCCATCTTGTATGTTTTGATAGTAATGGTATTGATTGTAGCTTGGCACAAATGAGTAGTTGTACAATATGTTCTACTTTGTCTTACAACCATTTCACACATATTTCAACCAAGTTTAAGAGCATGCTACTAATATTGTACGGTTGGATTGAAATGGCACATTAAAACGTAGCATAATGTTTTTTGCCCGTACAATGTACACGGAAGCTTTGACTATTAATACAACTTCTGTATCCAATAGTCAATGACGGAAGTAAAAATGCTTATAGTGGAATAATTCAGCAGGTTTACATATTGTTTTGCTGCTCCAGTTTTGCATTTCAAATTTAGAATCAGCTTGTGAATGTCATTTGATTTACATATTTGTACTTGCAATACTTTTGCCTGTCAAAGACACATTTTATAATAATGTAGAAAATATAAAATACAAAAAGTGTTGAACCATTATAGATATCATTTAGATTGTTTCTAATTGGTCCAACTGATTTAATCAAAAGAAGTTTCTAGCTATTCTAAAGCAAACATAAAAATGCAAGTTACTTCAAAAGGGCTTTTGTAATTTTTAACCTGTTTAAATTATCTATAAAATTATCTTGATCTTTATCTTATCTTTTTAACATCATTTTTAACAAACGGTTGCCTTTCTATTTTGTTTTTAAAGAAACTGTAAAAAGTGTGTACACTTACGTTAAAAGTATCAATTTGTTAAATCTTCTCTTTAATTTATGGACAATGTAATAGCAGTTTCTGGCTTTTACCAACAACACTGTCACGTAAGGCTAGCACAAATGTGTGTGTGGTTTATAATTTATTTTCAAATGTGTTTTATATTTTTTCATGCTGTGTGATAACGTGATAGAGATATGCTTTATGGTTATATATTTTATAAGCAATTCTGTAGATATTATTTGTTGATGTATCACCATTGATGATCAAACATAATAAATTTGCCATACAGTTGATGTTTGTTTTCTCTATTTTTCCTGCTATGTTTTGATATTCTTGTTGCACTGTGTACAAATAAGCTTTTGAAGGAGGTAAATTTATTGTTTCATTACAGATTTTATCATTCACTTTGAATACTGTAAGTAGACGGGTATTGAAACCAAAACCTGTGTTATTGCTGTTGTGGTTCTGTCAGATAACATTTTAAGCTAAACGTTTATTTTTTTAAGGTAAATTTTATAGTGTTGAACTCTTTAACTCGTTGGTTATATATTTTAACCAAAAGGAAAACCTTATTTAAAGAATTAGCGAAATAATGTATGAATAAGAGAAGGCATCGTTGAATTCAAGCGATACACGACAGATACATACAGGTACTCTAAAGTTGTATTCACTTGATTTTTAAAGTTTGATGTTTCACTGAAATGAACACATAATGTTCAATCCAACACTATAATAATAGTTTGTTCACAGAATTTAGGAGGTTAAAGGTAAAGGTTTCCTGGGCTTCCCCACCATGTTTTAGCTTAATTTGTGTATCAGCTGACCAGCTGTAGTTATGGTTTCAAAGTTAGGGTGCAGTGAAGGGGGTGGAATCTTCAAACCACTTAAATTTTGTGAAGGAGTGTAAAATTGTAAGACAAACAAACCTGAATTATTCATCAATTATATCATTTGCATTTCCTGTGTTAAAATGGTATGACCTTTGATCAGAAGGTAGTATGATCAGAAGGTTCCCAGTTCGATCCTTAAAAAAAACAAATGTTTAGTGGATCAAATCTGGGCCCAGCTGTTCTTGATTATTGGGCTGTATTGATCCTGGCTAAAAAGAGCCAGCTGATTTTGGTTAGTAGGGTACCAAAGCTTAGATGGTTAGTTTGATCAAAGCTTTCATTTAGTCAACACTCATTCACTCATATACACTCTGGTGTGGTGATGTTGTAAAAATAAAACCTAATTAATTATCAATTGAGATAGGGACTCCTAGGTGCATATTTTAACCAAAATATCAGAAGTATTAGAAGTAGAATATATCAGAAGTAGAATGGGCTGAAATGATTGTGTAGCTTTGTTACTAACTAAGATCAGCTGTTTCATTTGCCAGAACCATTTATTTGAAGCCCAATAAACAGGGACAGCTGGGTCCAGTTTCGTACTGTACCATCTAAAAGCTAATGACTTTTCTCTGGATCATTTGATTGTTGTTGTCACTATAACCTCTAAGCTACAATATTATAGATGGGGCAGTGATAAATTCAAACAAGTAAATGTCAATTTTATTCACGATGTTAATTTTGAGCTGTAGCCCATCAAACACTATTTTGAATCTGAGCTGTGGTCATAGAGCACATAGTATTTAAATATGAATATTATGTGCTGGATGGCTGTGGTTGATAGTTATCTTAGAATCTGATATCAGTCTAAGTGATATGGCAAAGAGCCTGTGTATACATACCAGGCCTACAGAATGTAAGATACATGAGTGTGAAGTAACAATTTTTCTTATAAATGGATATACAGTATAATACAAACAGCAGTATAGACAATTGGTTTGATAAAAAAAAAATATTGAATACAAATCTAGTAGAGGAAATTTTTTGAAGCAATACATACCCGTCAATGCAATTTTAATAGCTTCTTATTTTATAAAATAAGTATTTTTCACTTTTATTATTCTGATAAGATGTTCCACTAAAAAATATATGGTAGGCCCTAAAATACAAACACAGAGAAAAATAAAATATTTAATGATGTACTCTATTTACCTGATTTGAACTACCCCTAACACAGAAACATTTACTGTAATTTCAAGTACCGCCATCTTACCTAACTTTAGTATGAAATTTTAAAATGGTAAATTATCATTTTAATATTTAAAAAAATGTTGGATTTCAAAATTTGATCATTGGTACAAATAAACAACACATTTGTCACTTAGAGTACATTCTCATTTGGGCGATGAGTAAAAATACAAGAAAAACATGTAAAACCAGTAAAACTAAATGTAACAACAATTTGTTTATTTACGTTGTACAGTATTTTATAGAAACAGAGTATACGCCTGCAGATTGTAAAACACAGTTTCTCTACATATAACAGTTGAGATTGCATCAACAAGTTTGTAGGTAACTGCATCAGTTGGAAGCAGAGCGTAGGCTGACGAATTGAAATCATATTAGGGACGAGTCTTTTTCACAGTTGTCCTCTATCTATTGAGTTCTGACAGATATAATCTTTTGAAACCACCTTTACTGGTTTGAAGTATAGTTTCATGTTACAATTATTATACTTATTGTATGTACAAATGTAAATCCACATTATAGCCCCAACATCTACTAACACTTAGCTAATCTTCTATCTATCTTATTTCTATACATTTAATTCCGTAAGCAATTCGGTCCCCACGAAATATCTCGAGCTAGGAAAAAGCTGTTGAGGAGTTAGCATGGCTGTTGAGGATTCATTTTTAAGCTTAAGGTCCAAGGACGGTGGGGAAAATATCATAAGTCAAACCCCTGCTCTGCCCCACAGGCCGCCAAAGATCCAGTCATTTTCCAATGGAAATACTGCTACAGTGTTTTTATAAGCTGTTTTTAAATATACCAGCTAATGTAAACACGTATGTGTATGTTTGTTGATTTTATTGTTCTGTTTTAGGTTAGAATGGTAATGCAGTGTTGAAATGTATTCGTGTTAGGGGAAGACCGCGACAATGAAGGAAAGTATTTAGGAATGGTGCACAGAATAGGGAATGGTTAAGGACAAATTAAAACGGAATGGTCCCCTAGTTTTCTGATTAAAACCATAACAGAGTACCGGGGTATACTGTATACTAATTCAATTTTAAAACGGAGAAGGCTGCAGAAGACAAACCCAGCATAGATCATCTTCGGTGGGACAAATCATTGACTATAACTGGGCAGCTGAACAGTTAAAGTTCTCGCCTGTCATGTCAATCAGAAGATCGTGGGTTCAGTCCTAACGTTCATAGCTTTTTAATGGTTCAAAACTGGACCAGGCTATTCTTGAGCATTAAGCTTATGAACAATCCTTTTGAAGAAAAGAAACAGATGATTTGTACAGTAACAAAGCCACTCAGACAATCTACTCCATTCTACAACCTCGCTTCTCTTTAGACTTTGGGAAAATGCTTACCTATACAATGTGCGTCTCTATCCAAACGAAGAGATGTGATTAAGAAATACTAATCCCATCTTTACTCGCAACCAAAGCATTTCTATGACATCGCATTATATCTATACACACCCCAATCATCAACCTAGTAAACTATGGGGAGTTATCTCACCCAAACAAATAGTTTCTCTGCGGTCACATTTCAGAGGAGGTGCGATTGTGAACCAAACAAAGAAACAATGCAGCGAAGCGAGAGCGAAAGTGGAGGGGGCGAGCACCTACCTTCCTACCTTGTCCCGCCTGGCCGCCTAGTATGGCGTTGGTTTGCTGTTGGTGCTACAAGGACCAGTCTTAAAATGAGTGCGGGCCTGTGAACGTGGCGTAGGTGCGACCATGACGAAAAAACTCGTCAAGTTTTTGATTCTGTTCGACAACACCAACCTTCTCTACTTCCCCGGACAGTTTCTGACTGGAAGAGTCCTTGTGGAGCTAAAGGATGACACACCGGCACTCGGTGAGTCACTTTGTATAAGTGTGGATGTGAATTGATGTTGCATTGATGATTTGAGTTGAGACAACCTGTGTGTATAGTTACTGACTGAGATCAGCTGTTCCTTCAGTCAGGAGCACTCAGGACATCTGAGTCCGGTTTTTTACCTTCAAAATACTTAACTAACTTTTCTCGTTTTCAATGTATATGCCTAATTACTTGGAAATATAGATAGATAAGCTGGATGTGAATACATAAACAGCATGTGTGAATGAATTAAAAGTTCTCAAGTTTGGCCGCTGCCGACTGTTGACTTGACTCTTTATTATAAAACATATTATACTGTTTCCACAGTACGAAGATCAACATTCTATTACTTGTTTGTTTATCACTTAGTTTGGATAGTAAATAACAAAAAAAATGTCAGCCGAGAGCAACAAATTTGGTGAGATGAATCAGTGAATAAACTATTCTTCATTTGTTGAATAATACTCACCCAGGTGGCGTTCCCATCTCAATGATTGATTGATTGAATCTGTAGTTTCAAATATTTTTGATATATTAATTCTTGGTACCCAGTGGTAGAGGTATTGAGATTTTTCATAAACATCTTATTTTAATTTACAAAGCCATCAAATTAATCAGATTTATTAAGTGTTGTCTATGTACCTATCTAACGAAAGCAACTGGGCAGTCAGCAACAAAGCTACACAACGCATCTCCCTAATACTTCACTTGTTAAGTCAAAATGAAAATACACACCTAGGTTACGCACGCATCTTAATTTGTAATAATAATACAAAAAATACAACTAAACTAGGTACCGGTACAGTAAATTGTACTCTCTGGAATATCCTTGACGTCAAATAGTTTTGGAATTGCTAGTATCATTTTTTGAGTGCAGCGATCTAAACGCATTTGAAATATGTAGTACAGTAATCACATAGCTTATACAGTAATCCTACATACGACCGCCAACATAAAAACCAAGAAAAATTCTTAAAAATACGTTTTTGCCAAACTTTCAAAGTAAAAGTGTTTGTTTTAAACACATTTTTAATTATGTATTACGAAACCTTATTACACAACCTATTTGGGTTTATTCACTCTTTTAAGCTCTTAAATTTGTTTAAAAATGTCATCTATATTTTTTTCTATTACTAAACGTTGGTGTAGTGGTACATTTGAAGGTATTTTTTGGAAAGGACGCCTTTTCATTATTCTGGGATAATTTTAGACATTTTCGAACACCGTGTACATAAACATTGAGATGGGCTGAGTTTAAAGTTGTTTCATGAAAATGCTCAGTAAACAATTGCCTTTAATATCACTTAATCTCTTAACCTACTGTACCTTTTCATTTTCCAAAAACTACCGCCACCTCCCAAAAACTACCCGTTCGGTGAGTTTGGGAGACTTCAAAATAATTTCCCCAAATTTTACGGGGTTAAGTCATTACAGACTATCTACCTCGATTGGTTTGGCCGCTATACGACGGTAGTGTACTGGTGGTCTGCATCACCCTGTATAAGATTCCTATGATATATTTAACCATTTATAACATACATCGGACCTCAGTAATCCGAAGGCTACCTTAAAAATGAGATCTACAAAGTCTTACATTGAGCCAATTTCATATCAAAACCATTTTTAGCCTCAAACTTCTCGAAGGACTTAACACTTGATATTTCCCGTCAGACTGGTCCCAGCACCTTGTAAGGTGTTGGTCACCTAGGCGTCGCAAGTAGGCGGATGTGGCAACGCCTAGGCGCTAGGCGGCATCTTCTGTTGACACAATTATACCAGAAAATGGTATTAACCCGAATTATACTGAGATTGCGAATGATATTCGCCTAATCTTTTTGAAATAGATCAAATCCTAATGGCTTGTGCTAGGTCATGATAATAATAAAATTTATAAATAAAAAACGTGTTTAAAACAAAACGTTTTTAAACGCACAAAAAAGTAGAAAATAATTTATAAATATGTCGAGAGTATAAATACTTGTAAGATTTAAAACGAAAAACGTGGGGTGCATGCAATAGATAATTTACAATTACCTTCACCTATTGAACTAATGTATTATTATCAATTAATTGCATGCACCCAACGTTTTTCGTTTTAAATCTTACAAGTATTTATACTCTCAACATATTTATAAATTATTTTCTACTTTTTTGTGCGTTTAAAAACGGTTTGTTTTAAAAACGTTTTTTATTTATAAATTATTTTCAACTTTTTAGTCTTTAATGTGTAAATATGTTAAATATATTTTATATGGCCTGTTAATATATAACCAAAACCTGATTATTATCTCTAATCAGATGTTTTATCTTGACTTTAAAATGCTTGTTTTATATTTTTAGAATATATCTGGAGCAGAACTGTACCTCTTAACCTCTGCTCTTCGAACTGTCAAATTTAAGTATTTACAGCTGACTTAAATTAACTGATATGTTTACATTCTTTCAAAATGTAAACATGGAAAATCTGGAAGCCCATAGGGCATAGCCCAAGGGAAATGTGAAGCTTAAATGATATAATATTGCATTGTCATCCATTTGTGCGCTATGTTTCAAATTTCAAGTCTCTAGCTCATCGGGAACTTTGTTTAAAATTGATATCAAAATTTGTAGGAAAGCGAGCTAATAAAAACAAGCCCATGGGGTGTAGCCCAAGGGAAATATGAAAATTAAATTATATAATATTGCATTGTCATCCATTAGTGAGCTATGTTTCAAGTTTCAAGTCTCTAGCTCATCGGGAAGTATCACAATTTGCAAGAAAGCGAGTTAATAAAAACAAGCCAATGGGGTGTAGCCCAAGGGAAATATGAAAATTAAATCATATAATATTGCATTGTCTTCCATTTGTGAGCTATGTTTCAAGTCTCTAGCTCATCGGGAAGTTAGTATAAAATTGATGGCAAAATTTGTAACGGACAAGAAAGCGAGCTAATAAAAACGTTTTAAAATGATTGAAATTACATAGGTACTCATGAAGGATGAATTTATTTTTATGGGCTACAACCAGTTAGAAAAAAGAAATAATAAGAACTCTGTAATGTAAAAGCATGCAATTAAACAAAAATAAGATGCATTTTCCTGATATTGCTTAAAAGTTTAAGTGCTACTCGCACAGAATTTTTCTCCCCTCTAGTCGTTGAAACCCGTTGTTCTACTTTTACTCTCATTTAAGACAACATATAAAAATATGATACAAACAAAATCATATTAGTTTCGAAATGGACGATTTTCCGACAACGATTTTCCGCTTTTTCGATACAGTACTATTTTTCAAAGAAAAAAGTCTGTTTTTTTCATTGTGATTTAGCATACGGTAATAGTTTTATGCCAATTATAACCCCCAGATGTAATTATTATATTGGAATGCCTTTGTACTTCAGGGATTAAGTTTTGGTTGGAGAGGGCTAATTAAAATAATCAGTATTTTTCCCTATACGGTATCGAGTAATCTTCAGTGTAATCTTAATCTTTGCTCAACACAGATTATAATATGAATATGAATAATACTGTATTAACATCTTGGAATAACCCAACTGTCGTTTTTCCATTTTTACCGTACCTATTTTTTATCACACTAATATTATAAATGAGAAAGTTTGGATGTATGGATGTATGGATGTATGGATGTATGTATGTTTGTGACAAGTAAACACGAAACATACTGGTCGGATTGGGCTGAAATTTTGCATGATGATAGCTCACATTCCCGATTAACATATAGGCATATTCTTATCTCAAAAATCCTTTTGGGCTCCGCCCCAGTGGCTCTGCAGTTCCCCATGTTAACCGTATGAGTATTCATATTTAAAGGGAATTAAAGAATTTAGCCAGCTGTTTCAACTAAAAGAGTTGGTTCTATGATATGCAAAAGCATTAAAAATTTATAAGATTTACCAACAGGGTGCAGCACTATAATTTTTTTCATCTATCTATATATATAATACGCTAAGCCGATTTTTGTAAACAGAACTCCTCCCACATTTTTGGACCGATTTTGATGATTAAAATGTTAAAACAATGGCCCTGATCTGTAGTTTTGCAAAGTGTTTTTCGTTTTTCGATATCTTTATAAGTTTGGGCAGGATCTTCCATCAAAGTTGGGTTTTCTCCCATAAGATTAACATGGGGGAATCTAAATATTTAATTGGAAACTTTGTCCCCACTAATTTGAGAGAACGGCTGGGCGTAGAAACTTGATAGAGGTGTCCAAAGAAAGGTCTTGGTCTGTAGATGAGTTATCAAAAGATAAACGAAGTAAATTAACAACATAAATTTATTGGGCTCTGCCCCAGACGCCTTTAAAGATCCCTCGACAGCTTTGTTTACATTTTGGCCATATAATACTTTTTAATGAAACAGCTGTTAATTTTTAAATTATGTTTTAAACAACACACATTTGTTGGGAGTTACTGACTGAGTTGTCCAGAAGAAGTATTTGCCATGTTATTTTCTGTTTTTAAAATTGATTTTCTTCTGTATCATGTCATATTTTGCAATATAACCTTTCATTACGAAATCAGTGTAAATTCCTTGTATCACAGAACTCTTACAATAATTCCTTATTGAACTATCTAATATCTGTTGTAGGGGTTGTTGTCTGCCTTTTTCACCACTTTTTCCTATATTTTATCATATTATTCTACAGATCATCATAGGTTCATCAGATTATTGTCATACATGTTTTCAATCATTGGAAAATTAGTCGAATGTGTAATACAATACAAAATAATACATGTGCAGAAGGGCACGTTGTCCATTTGAGCCGTGTCTATATTTTGTTAAATTAATAGTAGTTTACAGCAACTCGATAAAACATTTTACAATATTTATGTAGAAATATGTGCACGATTTAGAAAGTCATTAAGCTGTAAATCTGCAATTTACTACAGACTTTTCAGAGAGGTTGCTATAAAGTATTCATTCATCATAGTGAACACATAATATAGATATGTATACAAATAAGAATTTGAACTCTTAGAGAGCCTTTTAATGTTATT